ATTTCAATAACTGTTTATTTACTCATTTTAACAATATTAAAACATATGATAATTAATCTTCACAAATAAATCATACAGCAGAAATATAAAGATTAATCAATGGTCATACTTATATATGAAATTAGAAATTAGTCATTAACATCTTTCCCCTCCTCAGGTAGAATGGCAATTTTTGTCATCGGAAGCCGAAAAGTACCTTTTGCTGTTGTGATGTCAACAACTCTTACTTGTCCATCTCGACCGGGGTATAGGGCAGATATTCTTCCAAGGGGCCAGGTGTTACGTGCATTGTCTTCGTCTACGATTATTGCCAAGTCGTCAACTTCAGGTGGAACAGTTCTTTTATGCCATTTGCACCTCCTTGTCAAGCAGGGTAAATACTCATGAATCCACCTTTTCCAAAAGTTGTCCAGTAGGGTCTTAACTCGAGTTAGTTGCGTCTTCATTGATATCTATTTTGTTTTTTCTTGTCTAAGAAAATGGTTTGGAGTGAGCGGGTCTGGATCGAGTGGGTCAGTTGGTACATTAGTCAGTGGTCTTGAATTGATGATATATTCTATTCGAACAAGAAAGGTTTGAAGTTCTTCATCCTTAGGATACTGGAAACGCATGACAAATTTTAATGCGGTTTTAACTGATCTGATGAGTCTCTCCCAGCATCCGCCCATATGTGGGGCTCGAGGAGGAATAAAGTTCCATTTGATACCTTGTCTGGATGTGTCTTAAAGGGGTTCCATATGACCCTCTGAATGTGGACATTGCTTAAACACTTAGTAGCATTCCTGTGCTCTTTGTCACTACCAACAAAGTTTGTCCCATTGTCCGAGAACATCTCCGATGGACAAGGTCTTCGGCTGATGAAACGTTGGATTGCCATGATAAAACTTTCTGTGTTCAAAGAATGTGGAACTTCCAAGTGGACAGCTCCAGTTGTCAAACATGTGAACAAAACTCCCCAACTTTTCTCGTGTCTCCTCCCTACAGTAACTTCTATTGGTCCGAAGTAATCTACTCCAGTGTAGAAACACAAATCTGAAGAACGGGTGGCTAGTTCTTGTTACTCTGAATTCTGGTAGAGGCGCCATTTGGGGGGGAACAGGCTTCACACAATTTAATCTGCACCTCATGCATTCTTTCCTAATCTTCTTTAGAAGTGGTCTTAGATTTGTTATCCAGAATCTTTCTCTTATCTTGCACCCAACTGTCTCGAGACCTTGATGGAAACATTCATTATGATACATTTGTCCTATCAATCTTGAAGTATAGTGTCAGCCATCTAATATTATAAGATTTTTCTGATCTTCCGTCAGTTCGGGTGAGTTTGAGGTTCTTGATGACATTCTTAAAATGTTGTTAGAATCCAAATATGGAGAGAATGAATAAATGCGGCTTGACTTCGGAATAGGCTTCTTTCTCATCACAAGTTTCCTTTCTTCACCAAAGGTTTCATCTTGTGCACATTTCAAAAGAATTTCTTCGGCAACATTCAGTTCTTTAGATTCCAGTTCAACGATGCTGTTGTAGTCTATTGGCCCAAATTGAATTTGAGTTTTGTCGTTTGATTTGCACCTCAATTTTAAGTTATTGACATATCTCAAAACCCAAGCAACAATTCTAGTCGGTTTCTCCCATGATGAGAACTTTGAAATGTCAATTATTTTTGCTTCGACATCTGCATGTAAGCCGGTAAACTGGCGTTTCGTTTCATGGTATTCTTTTACTTGTAGGTTCGGTGGTTGTGCGGGCCAGTGTTCACAGTTTAAAGATAGAAATTGGGGACCATGGAGCCATGTGTTTTGAATGTCAGAATTGAACCTTTTCATGCTTCTAGTCGCATAGTCGGCAGGGTTCAATTTTCCCATTTCCCATTTCCAGTCTTCTGCTGGAGAAAGTTCTTGGATTTCTCCAATTCTATTAGAGACAAACTGTTTATAGTTTTTTGGATCTGACTTAATCCAGTGTAGGACTGTTTGAGAATCAGACCAATACGTTTGTTTTTATTGAAACGCCCAAATCTTTTTCGACAGCAGAAGCTACTCTACATCCTAAAACAGCAGCTTGGAGTTCCAGTCTACGTATAGTCAGGTTCTTGATGGGTGCCACCTTGGCACGTGACATGATTAATGTCGTTTCGTAAGTGTCTTTGTTCTCCTGACGCAGATATGCAGTTGCAGCAAAAGCTTCTTCGCTTGCGTCAACAAATATGTGAAGTTCAACTGAGTCACTGACTCGTGTGTTGAAGTAGCACCTTTGTATTTTCAGTGTTCGAAGACTTTTGACTTCATCCATCCAAGCTTTCCACTTTAGACTAAGTTCAGGTGTCACAACATCATCCCAACCTAGTTTTGTTCTCCATATATCCTGAACCAGTAGTCTCCCTTTTACTGTAATAGGGGCAATCAGACCTAGAGGATCTAAAATTGACATAGCTGCTTTAAGAATCTCTCGTTTCGTCGGATACTCAGATTCGAGAAATTAAAGTTTTTCGACATTGCCATGGAACACAAAGCAGTCGGATTCAGCGTTGCACCTTAATCCAAGTACTCGTTCTGTTGGAAGTCGAGTATCGGGCATCAAATGTTTGGCTTGACTGGCTTTCAGGTTTTCAGGAATTTTCGAAAGTACTTGTTTTGATTTAAACATCCAGTTACAAATTTGGAATCCTCCAGCTCTATGTATCTCAATTATTTCTTGAACACGTCGTTTAGCTTCCTCTTCTGTGTCGGTCGAATCCAGCAGGTCGTCCATATATTCTTTAGTCAGTATGGAATTACTAGCTTCAGGATACAAAGAGTGAAACTGTCTTGCATTGTGGTGTAGTGTCTACTTTTCCTTCTGGTCTTTACCATCATATTAAATGTCAGTTATTTCTAACTACATATTTTACATATATGTTGATTTAATTATTGTTAATGTTTGCTTTTGTAAACAGTTCAGTTTTACATTGACCTTAATAAAAAAAACTTGAATTCAATACAACTATTGATTTTAATTACTTTATTGGTGACCCGGACCCCTTATAAGACAACATGAACATTAATGAAGATTTGGTTACCCAAGAAATAGCCAACTTGTCTATAAAAGTTCCTCACTTCTGGAAACCTGACCCAAAAATTTGGTTCGTTCAAATTGAAGCTCCAATATCGAAGATCACGAATTGTCTCAGATCAAGCCAAGTTTGACACGGTGGTAAGTTCTATTGATGCTGATATTCTATCTCAAGTCTCTGAGATTGTCACGGATCCACCAGCAGAGAACAAATACATAGCTATAATACCCCCGCCGCAGCAAACCTGCAGACTAAGCAAATTTCCACTTGTCTGATTACATTATTACTAAAATATTTCCATGAATAAGTCATATTTATTCCCAATTTAAATAACATTAGATTTAACGAGAGCTTAGGATTGCTGCTACGGGGAAGGTAAAAAGTGTTTTTTGTCAATAGTATAGGATGAAATAAATAAATTTGCCAAATTTTATCAACATATATCCATAAACAAGTAAACTACAACAGTTTTCATTTTCTCCATAAGAATAACATGGGAATTTTAAATTACACTATTTTTGAATTTTCTCCGTGACCGTAAGGCATACAACAGCGCTTCAATATACTAAATTATTTCTTTTTTAAGCTCTACAAAACGGTTTAAAAAGAAATTGCAAAATTTTTTTGTTTTTAGGGTAAAAAATGGGAAAAACCCATTTTTACCCCATAAAACCCCCCATAAACCCCCGTTCCCATGGTCCGATTATGCTGGTTCGCGAACTCGTTAGAATAAACGTAGGTTTACACGTTTGTACCAAATTTCATCAAAATCGGATCATTTTTGCTCGAGTTATCGCGCTAACGGACACACATATAATATATAAATACTAGCTGACCCGGCGAACTTCGTATCGCCTAAGTTATAGGTTTCCCCTAAGACAGACCGATGGAAAGAAAGTACCGTTACGTTTAATTTTCAAGATGATCTCGTTCGCATCGCTCAATCACGTCCTGGTTGAAGTTCGTTCGCTACGCTCACTCACCTTTGGGTTGGAGCTCGTTCGCTGCGCTCACTCACCTTTAGGTTGGAGCTCGTTCGCTGCGCTCACTTGCCTTCAGGTTAGCTCGTTCGCTACGCTCACTCGCCTCCAGGTTGAAGTTCGTTCGCTACGCTCACTCACCTTTTGGTTGCAAATTAGCTGTTGTCATAAATGTAAAAGAAATAATAGTGCTGCACTCTGTTGGTAATCCTTGTAACTTTAATGCTATTGGACATCATAGAACAGAACCAACTTGTTTAATTGAAACAGCTGTTAAGATTCATTAATTCCATTTCTCATAAGGTTAACATGGGAAACTCCAGAGCCACTGGGGCGGAGCCCTTTTAAGAATTTCGAAACAGGAAATAGTTTACGTCCGATTGCATACCTACAGAATTTACACACCAAATTTCATAACGATCGGTGAAGTCGTTCCGGAGGAGTTTGCAGACAAACACTGTGACACGAGAATTGTATATATTAGAAAGATATACTAATGCATTATTAAAAACTAAGTAAGGTGAGTTCTGGGACTGGGACTGCTGGGTGTAGAGAGAGGACTGGAGTGGAGAAGGAGAGAAGAGAAGATGCCGCCATTCGCCATTTTCTTTCTGATTGATCTGACTGAAGCCGGTGTTTGGTTTTTGTTTTGTTTACCTAATTTACGTAAGAAGTTCTGAAGTTGAAGTTATCATTATCATTTCAGAATCATCTTTATTGCCTAATTTGCCTCTTTTTTCAGAACTGTTGTACATACAAATTATTCGGAGCTATTGCATTTAAATAAAATATGAATCGGAACAATGAGACCAACGGACCAACACCAATAAAATATTTCATAAAATTAAGCTACATAGCTATGCTATCAGTCAAGCTTGCTGCTGATAAAGAAAAAATTAAGAAGGAAGAAGAAGTATGAAATTATTTTCGTTCCGTCGTATTCTTGGTTATGTTTGTTTGGTTGGTGTTGGAGTTGGGTTGGGATTGTTTCTGTTTGAGATTGAGTTATTTGATGTTCTATAGTTTTGTGTGTCTGTGTATGAAATAGTGTCAATACACAAATATGTATTTATAAACTAAATTAAACGAAAGATCATCCACGCAATACATTTTTACTTACATTACGGTATGTAACTTAATCTAATCTGTTGTTACCTTCAGTTGTATTGTTGCTGTGTAAATAAGGCTTAACTTATATTGTAGGCATTTCAAAGATTGTCTAGTTGCTATTAGCATTGACTATTGCATTTAGTCAAAGCTATTAGTCAAGAAAGATCTACCTCGGTCGTGCTATTCCAATAGGCCTAAACCATTCGGAGAACTTTAGTTTTTTTATGTTTTTAACGCTAGGGTGAATTAACTTGTACTTAGGTGTCTTAGCCTGCAATCCCTAGCCCATGTTTGTCCCTAACCCATTGTTTTATATGTGTGTCTCTGACGAGGTCTATTGTAATCATTGATTATTTAATGACCAATAAAGTACTTGATTACTTGACTTGATTACTTGATTACATGTAGGCTATTGAGGACTAACTTAGGCTACCTGTAATTTGAAGGTAGCCTGTTTAACACTCAAACAGGCTATAATTTGTTAGGCCTATGGCTAATAATTCGAAAACTTCTGATCAATAACTTATTTTAAGAATGTTGCATCTAGGTACTTAAATGCCTGTTTGTAATCTGCTCGTTAAGTTAGGCCTATTTCTGTTTAGATTTTAGCTAGCCCAAGTTATTCTTTCACTTTAAAACTAAGCTACAACGTTTTTAAATGATTTTTTGGGGGCGAGGCCTCCTTTTATTAATTTAGGCCTAGCCTACTAGCCTAATTCAATACCAGTAATTTACTAAGCGATAAGGGTAGAGAACCTGAGGAGGCTTTTGATGGCTTCTTTTCATTACTACATGAAGCCTTTAATTTTGGGTCAACCGGGGCTAATATGAACACACCAAAATATTGGGGCTAATATGAACAATTACTTAAAAAGTCATTTATCTGGGATTTTTAATCATGAAAAAAATATAATTAGAAAGGAAATTTATTGTATTTTTTGTGTCCATAATGAGAAAACTTCAAATTTGACTTCTAGGTAGGCCTACTTTAAAAAAATACTTTGTTAAAACACTTTTTTTCCGCCCAAAAAACTTTTCCGCGCAAAGTGAAAACTTTTGTTATAACAATTTTTACATTGGTTATAGGAATAATCTTAAGCCTGAATTTTGTTAAATAAGAATTGGGGATTATTTTTCTTTTCCCAAAGTTAAAATATATTAATAACAGCCAAAGTTATAAGCTTTCAAAGTTGGGGGGCTAATGTGAACAGTGAATGGGGGCTATTGTGAACAGTACCACCTTCCGCTATGTCGCTACAGTTTTAAAAACACTGGCTGACGGGGAGATCGAAGTGATGGGATTTAAATCCTGTGATGAGGAAAAAAATCATTCCTGAAAAAAGAAGATGATATATTTATTGTTTCTACCACTGACATTTTGGGGAAACTTCCAGCCCCTAATGTATGTGGAACCAGTGATAGACATAAGTATGTCTTCGACAAAATTGTCGAAGTTTTTGAGGCGTAAGTTCCTCAATAAACTTCTTTGAAGGCCTTACAGTGATAAAACAGTTTTAATTTTACAAAGACAACAGTTAAGGTGTTGAATAGGCCTAGCCTACATTTTTATATTTACCTAATAGGCCTAAAAGTGCAATAAACTGTCATTTACCTAAACGAACAATTTGCATTGTCTTAAATTAGGCTATTGTTTTTTTAAGTGCTTTAAACAATTTGTATGTTGAAGAAATTTTTAATAAATACTCAGGTATGTTGACAGATAATTTTTTTCTTGTTTATATCTTATTATTAGCCCTGTATAATATTTATAAATGGTTTAAAAAAAAAGGGTTACCGTAGGGCGACCCGCGGCTCTCCAAAGATACCTTCATATCTCAAAAACTATTTAAGATAAAATATTGAGACTTATTGCAACTGGTAGACTAGACCCTAGGCTTGTTCACAACAGCCCCCACATATGCCTAGTGTTGTAAATAACAGAGTTATTAAGAGTGTTCACATTAGCCCCATGGGCTGTTCACATTAGCCCCTTTTAGCGGGGCTAATGTGAACAGTGGTTTTTAATTTTTTTTTAAATAATGGTTACATTTATGGTTTTTGTTAGTAAATAAATATATTCAGCTAAAAGAGCTGTATACACTACTATTTTTTCTTTTCTACTGTCATTTACCATTTTTGAGTTAATGTCAAAAGTTTACTTTTTTTGTTCATATTAGCCCCGGTTGACCCTTTATTTTCCGCTACAAACTAGGTGTATTACGGATGAGACTAGAGGTAGGCTTGTTAGAAGATTGGATAAGTCCTGGTATACACCGGAACTGGCTAGGATCAAGATGTTTGTCTTAACTATTAGGGATAGGCTTTCCATTGAAACTTGTGAGCTGGTCTAGAGGCAGAGCGTGGGACTTTGGTCCCAGGTTCAAATCCCACCAAATTACTAATGGATTTTATATAAGTTATAATGCCACAAGCCCTGGGTCTAGTATGAAGTAATGTGAAAGACTATCCTAGGACAAAAAACCCCTTTATTTGCTTGCTATCCTAACTCAAACAAAAAAAAAACATTAGTAAAATAATGCAACACATTACCTGGATTTACTTAACTGAAAAGACTGTAACATACAAATGCTAATAATAGTTTTAAGGATTTATCTATGTAAAGTTAAGATAATAAAGAAATAAATCAACTATAATCACATAATATTGTTTTCAATAACCAGTCAATTTCTATTGTTAAATCTATTTCTGAAAAAATGAGTTTCTGCTCTAAGTATAGTTGCGAGTTGCGACATAACCAAATGAAATAAGTACAAGGGCTGGTGTGTTTAAGATTTTTTAAGGTGCTGACCGATTCTTTTACCAATCTTTGAAATGTAAAAAAAATGTAAAACCTATTATTATGAAATACTTAGCAACACCTACCTGCTACAAATGGAAAGTATATAATTGCTCAGGGATAAATGATACCTTGAAGTCTGAAATCACAATAGTTATTTGTGTAACTAGTGAGCAAAGTGGCACTTTGCTGCACACAAGAGAAATGTTTACTGGAATGTATCTCGAGTGCAGCAAAGGTCATTTGCGCTCGTGTTACACATTGTATTTTTCCTACAGTCACTATAGAGCATACAAATAATTAGTCTTTCAAACATTATTCAACAAGTGTTTAGGTTAGGTTAAACCCAATTGTTGAACGGAATGGGAAATACTGCACCAGATGATTGTAGTCGTAGTATCTTTAAGTGTTGCTTATTTTCAAGAGTACACGTATAAACAGTATTAATAACTAGGAAACAGAATAAAAAAGTAGATTGTTCTGAAAAATATGCCAATAAAATATTTCATGACAATTTTGTACATTTCTTTCTTACGCTGGAGAGGAAAAAGTTTGTTTGCTCGTTCATACTTCTTTTATGATTTATCAGGTAACAGGTTTAATTAAACATGTTTTGCAGTTTCTGATATTTCTTCTGGTCTACACATATATTCACAATCACTTTCACTGGTTAGTTATTTTTAAACATGTTAGGCCCACTTATACCTATCAGTAATTAATCTTTCAAAAACTACACTTTATGTATGTTCTAACCAAGTGTTGAACAAAAATAAAAAATAAACATAAAATCGCAGGTTAAATCGTAGTATAAATAGTCTTACCAGCTGATCATCGTAGTAGTATCTTTAAGTTTAAGGGTTGCCAACCTATTTCCAAGCGTACATGGATTACGTGCATAATAAAACCACACTGTTTTGTGTTGTTTGGTTTGAATCCTGGTGTGTGCCAAAGTATAAACCGTGCGACAAAGTAAGTAAATGCAGCAATTATCAGCTTTCTGTACTAATATCAGTGCAAGGAAGGCAACCTTGTCGGGTGACTGTAGGAAAAGAAATTTCTGCTTTCTGCATGGATAACCAAGCAAGCACTATAACCCCTCTGCACACGCCTAGTTGAAGGAATGTTGTATAAATATCTATCAGCATACTATTTACATGACCCAAGTTGTAGACTGTAGTACAGTTCAAAGAAATAACACCAAGAAATTCTGAAAATGTCTTCTTTATTTCTTACAAAGTTACTGATAAAATAAATAGAAAAATTATAATTGTTTTATACATAAAGAGTTTATTCAAGCAATAGTCAAGCAAATAATTATTACAAAAGTCATTAATAAATATGAAAATTCACTACAAAGTCTTTCATAACTGCATTCACCCATGATCATTTTGTTCATGGAGACTAGAGATCTGAAACTACACACACACACACACAAAAACACCAGCGGTCCTTGACCTTGTTGGCATCTGTACATCACTGAATGTATAATACAAACATATACAAATTTACATGTAGTGGGATTTACAAAAACCTTAAGTATTGGTCTAAAACTCAATTATATTGAAATGTCTTAGGCCAAAAACTGCAGCTGCTGCCACAAGCCCCAAGCCGACTAAAAACTTGGTCGACCTATTAGACAACAAAGCAAACACTCCCTTAGGCTCCCCAGCTTTGGTCAGTTGTAATCTGAAAAAAAAAACAACAGAATTACTTAAATATTACAAATGAAACAATGGATCGGATGGATGCAATGGGATTTGAATTTTAACTTCTAACAAATATTATAATCATTTTACACTACTACAAACATGACCTGTATCAACACTCAAAATCACCAAAAATTAAACTGAAATAAAAATCAATGTCAACATTTGTTAATAACGTATTTGAAAATGGTAGAACAATTTGACTTATCTAGGCTGAAGTTTGATGCAAGTCCTCACTTAAGAGAGAGTGGATTTACCTGATCTTAAAAAATAAAAACATAAGCCTAGGTCAATCTGTCTACCACTGGTAACATGAACAAGTACCTACTATATCTAAAAACTAACTTCTTAGTAGTGATGTTGTGCAGAGGTCCGAATGCCAGAGCTACGACTGTGCAGGCCAAACAGATGACGTTGTAAGGCATGCTGAAGTCCGGAGTAGGTAGAGTGATGATTAGTGACTCTGTTCGCAGTCGCACCATATAGCCGTCCCGTGACGCATTGATACTGTAAAACAGGTGTTTTGGTACAAGGATTACGATTTTAAAATCAGACTACTCTTAACATAAAAATTCCAATTTTTGTTTAAGCTTTTCTGTTGCATATTTATTTTAATCTAACCTTAGGCCTATAAGATTAGTTTAGCTGATTGTTGGATGTGTATGCCTAAGTTAGGTACTATTTATTTCACACAACTTTTAAGTATTTAATTGATTACTTTTAGACTGACAATGGCAAAGTTTATCTTGTTTTTAGATGCCAGCAATCTGTAGCGAGATTATAGATGACATTGAAGATCTAATCTCATCTCAAGAAATAACACCGAAAGATCGATATCGTAACAAGAAAAATGTTACAGTTAGAGTTAAAAAGCTAAAGTCTATATCTTCAGTGAAAAATGAACATAATGGAAAAGACGAATTTAACGTTCCTCACAGTATCATTCCAGGAACTCAGACTGTTTATTTGAAGACCTGGGGATGTACTCACAACAGCTCTGACAGTGAATACATGGCCGGACAGTTGGCATCTTACGGCTACACTTTGACTAGTAAGTTAACCTTTAACTACTTTATTAGCCATTAATTTCATTCGTGGGTGTAGGTAGGGACGTTCGGATACTGGCTTGCAACCGATATTTGGTATCGATACAGTATCGAATCAAAAGTATCGATACCGTACCGATATTATCAGACCTAAATTATCGATAGGGCCTACCGTCAGTATCGAATGGTATGTTATCGAAACAAAAAAGCAGTTTAAGTTTTGAGTGGATTCCCAAAAGAAGAAGAATTTTACTTCTACTTATTTCTTTTTTCTTCTTCTGTCCCGTTCATGGACTCTTGTGTCGCTGAATAGATCATATCAAACAAAGTGTCACCAGACTAAGAATAATATTCGTTGCTCTTCATAAGTACAAAATTGGCAATAATAAAACTGTTTAAACAGATTTATTTAACTCATTTAAGTAAGTTTGTAAGAAAATCCATTTATGAAAAAATTGGTTTAATGATTACACATTTAATAGGCCTATCAACTTGTTACATAGTTTTGTAACTTAAAGAAGTATTGATATGAAATTATAGCCTAAGATGATATTTTTAAACATTATTAACTCCGAAAAAGGAACAACAAACAATAAACGCACACACACAGTAACCAAACAATAACAATAACACACAACACTAACAATAAACAGTAAAGACACATGAAACGCAAGGCTTGGAAACTAAACGAGACTGCGGAACGCTAGGACTCCCAACCTGGAATCAATGAATGAAAGAATAAACAGAGATTAACTGTGTGTTGTTAGTTTATGAAAGATTATTACTAATTAGTTACAGTAGACTCCTTCTTATCCGGACTCCTCAGGACCAAGGCCAGTCCAGATAACGGTTTTTCCGGTTAAGGCAACGTCCCCATAAACTCGTTAAAACAGACCGTTGTCGGTGATATTCGACTTAAATTTAGGACATGGAGGTAAATTTAGGAGGTATTTGGACATGTGATCACTGGTTTCAAATCTTTCCCACAAGAACAGTCGTTTCAGTACCGCCCACTTCCTGCCAATCTAGTCCGGTTAAACCAATATGCTGATACAAATTGTCCGGTTAAAGAGATGTCATTTCCGTCGAGTGCAGTGTGTCCGGTTAAACCGATGTCCGGTTAAAAGGTGTCCGGATAAGAGGGATATAAGAGGGATACTGTAAGCTTAAGTCCAAACTGGAAAAAAATATGCAATAGAAGGCCTCATGAAAATGACAGTAATAATGATAGTTTTTAAATACTTTTCCTTATAAATTTTACCAACAGCTGTTAAAACTAGGAACAGCCTACTTTATTCATTCAATACCGATACTGATCAGGGTGGGTCAACGGTCCACAATTCGATACTGATTCAATACGATGGGTCAACGGCCAAGAAGATGGTAATAATAAGGTAATGATACTCCAACATTTCTTTCTATACGGTACCGCAATACTATATGGAATTCTATATGGATACTCGCATCCAGATGACACATCCAGACAGCCCCATCGTCCATTAGTACTTTATAGGGAAGGCTGCTTTCCCTTCTCAATATGATTCCAAAAATCCACACTTGTCTTTTGAATTTCTATAATTTCTGGCTTGTTCTCAGTTTCTCTCCTTAAAATGTTGTGTAGCTTGCTTCACATGTTCAGTTTCTTCTATTTTCTATGTTCTAGGATGTATAATAGCTAAGTTATGTGTGTTTGAATCTTCCTGTCAAATATCAAGTAGCCTAATACCGTGTACACTTTACATCTTGTTATATTTTGGCGAATTTCCCATGTAGGGAATAAGCTATTACTGTAAGTCTCATGGTAAGACCCAGGACCGATTTACTTTTTCGTTTTGAGGTCCCCGGAGGCTAAAAACACTGTCATATATTCATAATTCGTATATATATATATATATATATATATATATATATATGTGTCCGTTAGGACGATAACTCGAGCAAAAATGATCCAATTTTGATGAAATTTGGTATAAATGTGTAAACGTACATTTATTCAAACAAGTTCGCGAACCAGCATGATCGGACTATGAGAACAGGGGTTTATGGGGGGTTATCCCATTTTTCACCCTAAATACATAAAATTTTGCAATTTATGTGTTAACCATTTTATAGAGCTTAAAAATAGAAATAATTTTGTATATTGAAGCGTTGTTATATACATAACGGTTACGGAGAAAATTAAAAACATTGTAAATTTAAAATACCCCCGCCGCAGCAAACCTGCAGTCTTAGCGAATTTCCATTTGCCTGATTGGATTTTACTAAAAAAATGTCTCCTTAAAAATATCACATTTATTCCCTATTTAAATAAAATTAGTTTAACAAGTACTTAGGTTTGCTGCAACAGGGAGGGTAAAAAAGTGTTTTTGTTGTAAAATGTTAATACTGTAGTTTTGTAAGATATGAATGTATTTTCCAAATTTGATCAAAATATGTTCATAAACAAGCAAACTACAACAGTTGACTTATTCTCCATAAGAATAACATGGGAATTTTAAAATAACAATTTTTTTAAATTTTCTCCGTAACAATAAGGCGTATAATAACGCTTCAATATACTAAATTATTTGTTTTTTTAAGCTCTACAAAATGGTTTAAAAATAAATTGTTAAATTTTGTGTTTTTAGGGTCAAAAATGGGAAAAACCTATTTTTACCCCATAAACCCCCGTTCCCATAGTCCGATCATGCTGGTTCGCGAACTCGTTCAAGTTTATCCCGCCTTACACCTTCAAACCAAATTTTATCAAAATCGGACAAAAATTACTCAAGTTATCGTGCGGATGGACATATATATATATATATATATATATCTCTATAATATATAGATATATAAAAATTTGAACGAATGGTGTTTTTGGCCTCTGGGGACATCAAAATGAAAAAGTAAATCGGTCCCGGGCTTAGGTCTTACCATTAGACCTACGGTAATAGCTACTTCCCTATAGGGAAATTCGCTAATTCTCAAGTTATCCTATATAGGGAATAAGCTATTCTCATGGCAAGACCTAGACTCGCGACCGATTTACTTTTTCGTTTTGAGGTCCACAGAGGCTAAAAACACCCTCCGTCCAAATTCATATCTATATATGTCCGTTGGCACGATAATTAAACAAAAGTGATCCGATTTTGATGAAATTTAGTACAAACGTGTAAACCTGCATTTACTCGAATGAGTTCGCAAACCAGCATGATCGGACTTTTTGAACGGGGGCTTACAGGGGATTTTATGGGGTAAAAATTGGAGTTTCCCATTTTTTACTCTAAAAACATAAAATTTCACATTCTCTTTCCAAACAATTTTGTAGAGCTTAAAAATAAATAATTTTGTATATTGAAGCGTTTGTATATTTGTTAGTAGCGACGCTACAGTAGCGCGCTACTTTTTTTGTAGCGTTAGCTGTAGCTACGCTACTTTTAAGATTTTGTAGCTTTAGCTGTAGCTAGCTACATTTTTAAAGTAGTTGTAGCGGAATTTTAGCTACTTTTCTCGCTACATTAACATTGTTTGAGATAGTGATTTTTATCATAACCTCAACCTTACGTGAAACCTTTCAAACTGAGATTTTCAAAAAAATTAGGCCTACTTTCTTGGCTTCATACAGCTGGTTGCAGCCGTTTCATTCCCTATACAACGTTGTGTGGACATGGAGGCCATTAAATGAGTGTTATCCACATTTTTGGCTCTCATTTCCTTAATTTACTACTCTATGATTACTGTCAGATTAAATAAAATCGCTAGATGCAGACGACTTTTAAACGTTACCGGTGACAAGAGAAGCTATTGAATGCTTGCAAGTGATTGACAGGGAAATTAATCAATTTAGTTTCTTTATTATATCGATAGTGTTTCAACTTGGGTTTCAATGGAAACCAACACTAAACCTTAAAATAATGAGAAAGCTGGTCTATCAACCTTTGCTTCAGCTGTTGATTGTGGTTCATCATAACAAGCCCTTCCTTGGTTATATTACGAAGATTTTTCAAAGGTTTACTAAATTAACAAAGAAGAAATTACCTGATGTGATTTAAGATATGCCTAGACTAAATGATAATTGTAACGAAAAAATCTCCATATAACATGAAACTTACATTGAAAAAATAGCATAGTTTGCTCCTGCTAACAGCTCTTGTATAGGACTATTCCTAGGCTATGCTATGGTTTAAGACGAATACCAAGTTCCAAGTTCAATTATTAGGAATATATCTCTTTAGTCATTGCAAAAACAATCCTACTAACTTATAGCCAACTTGTTACATAGCCAAGTAGGCCTATATGTTATTTTTACTTTACAAATTTCCACATGTTTAAATTAAAAGCCGATTTCAGGATAAGTTGCTGAATACTGTTTTCTGTACCAACTAGGTTGAAGCACAATTTGCAATTTGCCCTATGCATAATGACAATAAAGGACGATTTCTTGACATTGAAAAGTGTTATTCATTGAACAAGTAACTTATCACTATGGTTAAAAGTTATAACAATGTCGTTTTTAACATTAAAAGTTAAGAAAGGCAATAAACTCCAATTTCAGTAGGCTAACTTAGGCTCTGTAACACCAACAAGTATTTTTAAATAATCGTTTTACAGTTTTATTGGTCTTAATTGTTTATACAAGACATCTATAAATGAATCTATATTAAAGAAATAAAATGAGTTTTTAAAATATAGTTTGGTTGTGGGCCTATGTCCTTTGAACTTAATGAAATTTACATATAAGATGCTTAAAAATAATGCAATATTTAAAAATAAGTACTAAATATGATGAGAAACCCAACTATTTGGTTCTGTTGTTTTAATGTTAGGTATATAATGCCAAGAAATTAAATACAATCTAGGAATAATTTGTTTTCCAAGTAATGTTAGACACAATCATTGACTATATATACCTGTAGGTATATAGGCCTATAGTCAATGATACAATACTGACATTTTTTGTTTGAATGTTTGTTGAATAAAAATGTAGTTGCAATTAATTTTACATTTACCTAATGTGCGTGGAATAAAAAGTAACGTCTTTGGAAAAGTAGCTAAAATTGTAGCTGTAGCTACATTTCATTGTAGCTGTAGTTGTAGCTAGCTACTTTTTCGGAACTGTAGCTAAGCTACTTTTTTGGAAATGTAGCAGTAGTTGTAGCTAGCTACATTTTAAAAGTAGCTTCCCCAACACTGGCTATACCTAACGGTTGCGGACATAATAAAAAAAAATTCAATTAAAAATGCCCATGTTATTTTTAAATGGAGAATAAATAAACTTTTGCAGTTTGGTTGTTTAAGGATATATTTTAATCAAATTTAGCAATTTTGTTTATTTCATAATAAGCTCTCAACATTTCAATAAAAAAACACATCTATAGGCCTATACCTTCCCTGTAGCAGCAAACCTAAGGATTCATTAAAATGAATTATATTTAAATTCAGTAGACTCCCTCTTATACGGATAACGAGGTTTCCAGTTAATCCGACGTCCCCAAAGACTCGTTAAAACGGACCGTTTAAATGCACACTGTATAGACCTACAGTAGTTGACTTAAATTTAGGAGAGCATTGTATTTAGACACGTGATCACTGGTCTAAAATCATTCGGTACCACCCACTTCCTGCCAATCTATTCCGGTTACCTGATGTGCTGATAAAAATGTCCGGTTAAAGAGATGTCATTTCCGCCAAATGTAGTCTGGGTTAAACTGATGTCCGGTTAAAAGGTGTCCGGATAAGAGCTGGAGTCTACTGTAGGAACTAAATCTGACAATTTTAAGGGAATAATTTAGTGGAATTCTAGCCAGGTAATTGGAAATTCACTTAGTCTGCAGGTTTGCTGCGGCAGGGCATTTAATCTAAATGATATTGTTGATCAAATCAACACCAAATTCTTCTTATTTGCTGATGATATCAAGGTATTTACTCCTGTTACATCAATTGAAGATTGCCATAGACTCCAGATTTGGCTAAGTAATATCAAGAAGTGGTGTCCTTCTAATCTCATAAAGATGAATATAAACTAAATGTTGAGTGTTATCATTTCACCGATCTACAAATAGTCTTATCTACAATTACCTACCCTCTTGATGGAGAAATGCTAAAATGTATAATTATATATATTACAATAATATTAATTATAATTACTATATTAATTATAATATTGTATAATTATATTATAACTGATATGTATAAGTGCAATTTGGGTATAATGTCTGTCATAACCTGTTCCCTGTAGCCCTGCACTGCAGCAGCTTCCCAAGCCTAACTTCCAGAAATGATCTCAGTATTAAAGCTATGAAACACCTATATTTTTGAGTAGTCAGATCAGCTCTTAGTAGTATTAAAAAAACAATTATCAGGTGATCAATTGTAACACAGTATTATGTTAAATATATAAAACCACAACATATCATGGAATCCTTATATATAATACGTGAAGGCGATATCTACAAAACACTACTCCTCCATTAATAATGGACGGATTTTTACAAACGATGTGTCAGAATGAAGTATTGTTTGTGTAGATGCCCCCTTTCACCAATTCCTGTAATAAAAGTCCTCGGGCTTTGCCCCACAGGCCATCAAAATCCCAATGTATTTCTATGGATGAAATATTTTGTTTACTTAAACGGACAAATAAATTGTATTAATTACAGCTGTTAATAGTAAACACACGATACACACAAGAGCATTCGTTTTCAGTTTTGATAACTAGAGTGGAGTGATTGATTACATTATCTTTGAGTTGATTCTTTTAAGTTATCGGAAATTATAACTGTTATTCGTTTTGAAATATCGCCCGTAATACTTTGCAATTGCTCGAATTCGAGCAACAGGTGCACTGGTAATAGTTAAAGACATGATTTACTGCATAATTATTTAAAAAGTATTTAAATATGCCTCATTTTAATGCAGATAAAATATGTGATTAAATTTTGTTTAGATGATAAAGGTAAAGCTGATCTTTGGCTACTGAACAGCTGCACTGTAAAGAATCCAGCAGAAGACCATTTTAGGTAAGTTTTTAACTAGATTTGACAAGCTTTCTAATTTACTTGGATTAAAATGCACCCTAGGTTTATTTAGGGTATATTGGTGTCCTGAGAATAGCAATCTTTATCAGTTAAGACCAAATTTAATAGGTACATTCTAGAATATTTGTTAGTTAGAAGGCTATTTTAACTATCAAGTGTTGCTTTTATAAAGGTTGTTTTTTTATTCCATACTGTAGCGGTTAGCTACAAATTGATGATGATTTGTTCGATTGATTGGCTGTCACGACATAATCATTCATGTTGAAAACAATGGCTGAACCCTTGAATTTAACCAGAGGACACAGCTCACCGGGAAACACAGGCCTAAAGTGCCAGCTTTGATTATTAATCCACTAACTAAACCATTAAAACTATGGAAATACAATTATCCTTGAATGAATATAATAATAAATTACTGATCAAATGACTGGACACAACTTGAACTATTAATTAAAGTAATATTGCAATTGGGATATAGACACCGCAAGCGCGAGCACATTATACTTTTATACATTTCAATGAAATGGAGACCATACAAAGTAGGTATTTTAAGCCAAGTAGGAGATGAGTGTAGGATGAGTGGCGCGATCTTGTAGTCTTGTTAGTGACTAAGGCCGACATATCCTTAGAAACAGCTGTTAATTAATAGCCCATACAGCTAATGGAAACTAAGGGACCTACAGTTTATAGTGGAATCCAAACCACATTTCTGCCTTGGTATATACAAATTGGTCTAATTATCAGGACAGTACTGCGGATAGTCGTAGTACTCACTCGTGCGGACGTTAATCCACACCAGGGAGTATCACATCCACAGTGTATGCCTATAAATATTCACAATTCGCAACCTCCTAGTAGCTGGATTACAGGACAACGCCACCCGTCCCAGTTTTTTATTCCTGGGTTTTACAATGGCTTGACTAAACCTATTCAAACCTTCTTGGCGGGACATTTGAGTGGCTGTGGAGGTTAGGGTGTTTAGTAGTCGGGAAAATCGGGAATGTCGGGAATTAGTATTGAATTTCAAAATGGTCTTGAAATGTCGGGATTTAGTCTTAAATTTGATTTCAAAGTCGGGACATTGTTGTACTTACTTATATATATATATGCGTATTCAGGATCATCACCTTCTTGATGAATTAGAGGACCTACTCGGTGGTAAAACGTGTCATGAATCTTGAAATTGTCAATCCCCTGTGGAATTTTCTCATCCTAATGAGCTTCGGAGCTGACCATGGTAAAGGCAGAATTGAATTGACGAATTTTATCCAAATAATTTCTGGATATAAGTCTCACAGTCCTTTTTTCAGATTGGGAGTTTCCAATAAGATCCTGAAGGTATGTATGGTGAGTTGCACAAATGAGGTAAACGAACCTTTCATTTGTGGCAACAAAGAGTAAAAACTTAACTGTCTCGGGCAGTCGTTTCTTGCTTAAAATGTAAGCCACTACAATGTAAACATTTAACGTTTATTTGTTCGAGATTGGATGTATCACCACGGCGGTACTACCACTATGTATACCCGTTAAATGTTCAATTGAGAGGTTGGTTGATGCAAGCGGTCATGTCAGGGTTCCTTCCAGCTACTCACAGTTCTTCGTCGTACTGGCGGCATTTGATTTTAAATTGAAATGAAATAAGAAGGTTAACCAAACAACAGAAAACACTATAAAGGAATTGGAATTTTGATACATATTGTAAATTATATGATGGTAATGTAACGGATAACTGCCCTGTGAATAATCACTTTTAAACATTCATCGCATCAAACTGTAACTACATGATAATCAGAAAAGTACGATTAAGGTAAAAATCAATTTAACTATAGTCAAAAAGAATGAAATATTTATTCTTTTTGTCTATGATTTAACTATTACAAACAATTTGTTGCCTAGTATTGCTAGGAAACTCTTTATTATGAACCTTAAGATTGAAACAAAATGTAAATTCTAGCTTTGCTCCCGAAGTTTTAAGTCCTGCAGTCTGTGGTTAACCTTAAAATCTATTTCAAACTATACGTCCATATGTTATTTGTAAACAAAAGGAAATGAGTTTGATCTAATGTCAACAGATAGCGCCACCTTCCAAACTTTAGCCCTTAAATGTACTTAAGTGGTGCCCTATCTTAATATTCTGAGACGCATTTGCACATCTACGTGAACATACCTTTGATTTGACACCTCAAACTTTAAAATCCATTAAGCCGTTATTGAGTTATGACTGTGAAAAGAAAACTGCTGCGTATTAATATATAGATGATATGATGATGATGATGTCTAAAAATAAATAAATAAGCAATGTTTTTGCTATTTTGTTGCTCTTGTCAGAGACTACCACCAAGGACTACATTCATTGAATGGCATTTTAAAAGAGGGCTTCAAAATCCTCAAGGCCTCCAACCACACCATCAATTTTTTGAAAGATCCACCAAACATTGTTTTTAGACAACCACCCAAACTCCGATAAATACTAGTCCACCCAAAAGTTCCTGACCCGGCCAACAACAACCTAAACAACGCACGCCCTAACGGTTCATATCCCTGTGATAACAAGAGATGTAAAACATGTGAAATAAATCAACCCAGCCAAACATTTTCCAGTTCCACAACCAAAGAAAACTACAACATCCGAGGCTTCAACACTTGTGAAACGAAGAACATTATCTACCAACTACAATGTAACAAATGTGAGGCACAGTATGTAGGCCTATCCACCAATAGCCTCAGAACCAGGATGAATGGCCATAGACAAGATGTATCTACTGGATACAAAGACAAACCAGTTATACAACATGCCCAGAGCCACAACAACCCTAGTTTCAATGACTGCTATACAACCAAAATAGTCAATTCACTGCCTCCTCAATGTAACCAGTCATAACTGAGAAGATGGGAATTATCTTACCAATGGTTTACTAAGTCTAGACAACCCCCAAACCTAAACCTAAGATAATACCTTTCATATAACCCACTCCACTTCAACATCCAACCCAACTAGCAGGCTTACATATTTATTCATATATATATATTATATAGTGCATATAAGATAAACTAAACTGTGTTTTTTGAATTCATACTATTGGCAACACTGACTCAACAGCTCACTGGCCACCATTTTAGACATCTATAAAACTCTCTCTTCCTTAGTTGAAAATGCTGTCAGTGACAGTGAAATATTCTAATGTTTTGTGTATATAGTGTAAAGTTTTGTTTTGTGTTTCCTGTGCCAGTTTGGACTCTTTCCCATTCAGGTAAACCTGTTATCCTCTCAAAAAATCCTAAAAAATCTAAGGCCCTTGTGCTCTATGCTACACCCTTAACCTAACTTCTGTTAACTTTAAAATCTCATTTGATGAAAGAAAAAGCATGTAGGGGACTTGATGCAGGTTTGTGACTGTATTAAAACATTTGAAATTAGGTTAGATCAGGTAAGTTAAGTTTAGATTGTGGTTGTAATTAACCGAGTTATTAATTTATTTTATCTCAAGACGGGTTCTGCCTAATTTAAATAGTCGGTTGAACACAATAAATAATGCTTGTTTATTCACAGGAACGAGATCTCCGCGGGCCAGTCAGCTGGTAAACCTGTGGTGGTGGCAGGTTGTGTACCACAGGGAGCTCCACGAGCAGAATATCTCAAGGGACTCAGTGTCATCGGAGTCCACCAGATAGACAGAGTTGTGGAAGTTGTTGAGGAGGCGTTGAAAGGTGAGTGAGTTTGATTGTTAGAGTTTCCTGTAAGTTGTTAGAACAAATAAAATATAATTATGAAAGTACAATTATCAATGGTCTTTATTCAACACAACATAACAACTAGCTGATTATGGTTATACAATAAACAGGCAATAACTAAAGATAGACATAAGGGATGTAACACCTCCCCTTTTCTAAGAGTTTCATAAGTTATGTCGAGATCATATCACTGTTGTGTCATGCTAGTGTCTATAATGTCGCTGGTGCCACTGGATCATCCTATATGTCGTGATCATTCGCCTCTGGATCATCTGGTGTGTGGTGAATACTCGTTAGGTTGTTTTCGGTCAGTTCCTCTCTGACTTGTCTGAAATTCGTTGGTAGTGTGAGGTACCAAATTTAATGGGGGGTAAAAACGTACTGCTAGTCAACAAACACCATAACTTACCAGTTTTCATCCGCAATAGCCTACTCCTAGGCCTATGTGTTGGCCATAGCCTGGGCTATGGGCCAAAGAACGTAGGCCTATTTTTAATCACAGTTAAGTACATACACACGTTCACCATACATATTTATTCATATTAGCACTCCACTTTACCAAATAAAGTTAAACCGACTGATTTTACGAGTATTTAACGCCGACGACAACATGACATAACCTCGAACTGGTGTTTGTTGACCGATGACAGACGACAACTAGACCGGCTCAACAGGTGAATTTCCGATCAGCTGTTGGCTAGTTCTTGAACTCACTGCCAGAGCGCTTAAGCCTCGGCCGAGGAAATCGTGATTTGAGCCGGAGAAGATTATTCGCTGTTCGACCGTCGACTTGCTCACGAGAAGCCTCTTTGCGCACCGAAACTAACTTCTCCATACGGTACTACGTTATCCATTCAGGTTAGCTACGTTTTGTTTTAGACTTTACTACGTTCATTTAAATTTTCTTTTAACATACGCATACTCGTCTGCCACTTATTTTACCCGTTCAAGTTTGATTATAAAATTGTCTAAATTTATAACATAGACTTTGCCGACTTGTTTCATACCCGCTAGTTCCTGCCTGCCAGTGACTAGCGGCGATTATCGTTTGGTTTGATTTAAATCAATTAGTTTCAAAATTACGATTCCTACGAATGATTATTACGTACGTTTATTTCAATTAATTCACCGTTTTAACACCCGAGACTTGTGTAAACTAACTTCAAATATGAACCAATTTTCTAAAAAGTTAAATAAAATCAGTCTCAATTTAGTTGGAACAAATTTACTATTTCTTTTTCAACACACACTGTTTACATTCATGTTTCTTTAAATTATCATAATTAAACATCTGTTAATATATCTGAAATACAGGTCATATCTTTGCAAAGAGGATAATATTGAATTATATACCAATATTACATTTTATAACACACTCCCCCTTTTTTGCGAGGTCGCAAAATAAGAAGTCTTCATTCAGTCCTTCTCCGGTAACTTCCAGTGGGTACAGTCGTTGTATGGGTCTTAGTATTAAACCCTTTTTAGTTTTTACTTGTACCAACCGAACTTTGCCGTCTTTCCCTGGGAACAGTTTTATTACAATACCCAAAGGCCAAGTAATTCTTCTTCTGTCTTCAATTTGAACCAATACCACATCTCCAACTTTAATATCGTCGGATTTTAACTTGTTGGACGATTTCAGGAACCCCAAATACTCCTTTTTGAAACGGGAGTTCATATTGTCTCTTAGACTTTGAATATATCTCCATCTTGTTTTCAAACTGGTTCTCTCTAGGATGTCCAAGTCCGTGACTTCATTTCCCACAATGCTTTGTAGAAACATAGGTGGAGTCAGAGGTCTTAAGTCTCCCGTCTCCTCTGAGACGTATGTTAGTGGTCTTCTGTTCATTATTCCCTCACATTCACATACTAGGGTGTTTATTTCTTCGTATGTGAGAGATGAATTTCCCAAATTCCTCCGGAGGAGTCCTTTTAGGATCCTTATCAGTCTTTCCCAAAATCCTCCCCACCAAGGACTTGCAGGGGGAATGAACTTCCACACAATTGCATTGAGGCTGAATGTATTTTGGATTTCAGTCCAGTTCAGAGACTTCAGATTCTTGTTTAAACTAACAAAATTTGTGCCATTATCTGAATAGATAACACTTATCCGGCCTCGTCTAGCTATAAACCGTCGTAAGGCTCTTATGAAGGCTTCTGTATCGAGGGATTGTATGACTTTTAAGTGGACTGCACGATATACGGCACATGTAAATATTACCACCCAACACTTCTGATTATCTCTAGTGATCAATGGACCAGCCAAGTCAATCCCACATACTTGAAAACATGAAGAAATCTGAGTGCGGTCTGTGGGTAAGGGAGGTGATGGCATCTCTAAGGCTTTTGCTATGTGTCGCTTGCATCGAACACAGTTGTGAACTACCTTTCCAACAGCCCTTCTGCCTTTTAGGATCCACACTCTGTCACGAAGGATGACAATCAACGCTTGCACTCCTGCATGTTTATTCTGTAAATGGTACTGCCTGATCATTTTCTCAACAACAGGGTGTTTGCTAGGTAGAATGGCAGGGTACTGGTATTCAAAACCTTCCTCCCGATCTGATACTCTGGTTTTCATTCTTATGACGCCATCTTCATCCACAAATTTTTGTACACCACTTAGCTCTTGAGATTTTAGACCTTCAGGAAAGCTCTCTCTTTGAATCAATTTAAATACAATCTTTTCTGCCTTCAAGAATTCTTCAGAACTGATGTTATTTCCCAAGTTCAATTTATTCTTGGGAGACATTCTCAAGATCCATGCTACAGTTCTTACTATCTTAGTATACTTGGAAAATCTATTTCCTATTTCTTCAATATCCATATCTTATCTATTTCATATTTCTCATAGTTGTAGTTGTTTTCATATTTCTATATCTTATCTATTTCTTCTGAGTTTTTAACCCCGTCTTTGGCGGGCGAGAGAACCTAGTCTTGGGAGTAGGCTGATTTGAACAATCAGCCATGAATATTAGTATTAAATTTATTTTAAACGATCTCACGATAAATTTTCCGTTCAATTGAGTTAATTAGGCCCTGACAACTCTGTAGGAGATGTTTTTTTTACATTGTATTCGATTTATTTATATTATTTACCAACGTCTTTAGCCAGATAGTTTAAAGTTTAATATGAGTAGTTTTATCAAATTGGCTAAGATAGAATACTCGTCGGTCCTACAGAGTCAATCCAAAAGTAAGGTAAAATTTATCAAAACACTTTGGCAAAGGGGAGGATGATATAACTCCAACTGAGCGTCTGCAGGATTTCCTGAGCGCTTCTAGAGCTCTGAGCCTTCGATTAAATTGAAATAAATTGATCAGTCAAAGCCGTGACAACCTCGTATCGACCCCTGGATTTTTCTCGGCTCCTTCTGAGCACTCCAGGGAAGAAATTTGAGCGTGGCTGGTTCTAGAGGTAGGCCTAGCCTGTATTTGGTGAACACTGGTTTATTCCCCCGCCTAGAATTTTGCGTCACAGTAGGAATACTTGGTTTTGTTCATTCTGCTATGAAGAATTTTGCACAAGTCCCTCCCTGAACGTCTGATTTGATGTTGATGTTTCGTAATTTCTTGGTCCTTCTTTTCTAATGATATTCCCAAAACCCCACTTGTTGCCGGTCCCATTGATGCGGTAGGCAACTGGATCTTGTGCTTTAAATGGTTTTTGCCTGTCACAGTCAAATTTTGAGTCAAACCTCTGGTTCATTTTTGTCAAATTAGGATACAATAAATCAACTCTTGATAGAATTTGATGTCCAATGAAGGGATGTGAAGAAAACTGACTTGTAGTAGTATGTGGAGCTGTTCGGAAGGCCATGAAATATCTCTGCAATTTCAATTCAATTGAGCCTTCTCCAAGATGTATGGTTAAGTCTTGCACATAGTGTTCTACTTGGCCATTAGTAGCAGGATGGTAAGGCACTGACCTCTTTTGTCTAATTCCATTTGATTTAAGGAAATTCAAATTTTCAAACTAATAAAACAAATTGCCTTCCGTTGTCTGACATTGTTATGTTAAGGATTCCAAAGGAGCCAAAGAATTTCTGAAAAGCTTCGAAGGTTTTATATGAAGTTGTAAGTGTTACAATTTCCAGCCATTTGCTGTAGTCATCCACAATTATATTATTTTAAGATAGCCTACGAAAAAATAGCCTTTGTTCTTGCAGGAAGATGTTTTTTATGTTACTCTCCAATATACTTCACCACAAGTGTGGCTTCTTCATAGAACAAGGCATGTATTTTACACTATTTACACAAAATCATAATATAAAACCACTGGGTGAGCAGAACTCATGGTGCCGCATCCTCATGTTGGTGCACACGCGCTGACACAGGTTTCGGTCACATGTAGTATAGTTTGTTTTTTTGTACTCAATAGACAATAGACAAAATATTTATTGAAATATTCCTAGAGAACTCACTGTTTAACTTCGGGGTAGGTTATTCGCTGACCTTCTGCGGGAGATAGTTAGTAATGAAATTGAAATTGAAATAATATTTTATTTCCCATAAACTATATACATATAAGTACATTGTATTTTTTTTTTACTTAAATATAATACAGCAAACATTAATAACTAGAAAAAAAAAAAAATTTATATTCTGTAGAAATAAAGCGGAAAAAGTGCAAAAAAAAAAAAAAATACCTTCTATAACAAAGGAAAAAGTCTACATAGGCAGGGCCTGTGCGTAGACTCGAGTTGCGAAAAGGTTAATTTAGATGGGAGGTAAAAAAATGTAAAGGAAAACAAAAAATAATTCGTATAAATTTAAATTAAAAAAAATTTTCTTGCTTGAAACTGAGTTTTTAGTGTTTTGGAATTAAATTGGCGATAAAAAACTCTTTATGCAAACTGAAGTAATTTATAAACATCTGGTGAAGGTTGAAGAGGAGAGGTGGAGTGTGGTGTATATAGTCAGTCAGTGAAGGTGGTGTATCAGTGATTGCGTAGTGAAGTGTAGGGTCAACGGTCAGGTCCGCCCAATGCGATAATGGCCTCGGTGTCCTCTGAACTCAGTCCCACAAGCCTACAACATGCTTCTTAAATAGAGAGAGAGAGAGAGGGTGAATTTAGAATATTGACATTTTGATATCTGTTACACATGTTACGATAAATGATTTGGGTTAAGTGAAAGCAATTCGTATGTGAAAATGATTTTAAAGTTTGTGGAACATTTATACCAACATTTCGAGAAAAGCGAGTATTGTGGGGATGAGTAATTTTTATAAAAATATTATCAAAGTTTTTGTACTTGTGAACTAAAATCTAAAATAAATTTTAAAAATAACTGCCTGACTGTCAAAACTCCCGATTCTACAAAAAGATCGTCAGTTGAATATCTAAAGTGTTTTTTAAAAGCAACTTTAAGTATTGTTTTCTGCACTACAAAAACAGGTTGCAAGATAGTTTTGTAAGCACCACCAAAAGCAATAATTCCAAAAGACAACAAAGATTGTACATATGCATAGTATGCTATTTTAATTTCTTGCTCTTCGAGAATATCACTAAGTTGCCTAAATACATAAATATATTTATTTACGTAATTTATTTTTTAGATATTCAACATGTTCCGACCATTTCATCTTTGAATCAAAAACAATACCAAGATATTTGTATGAATCAACTTTTTCAATTTTGCTACAAAAACAAGAGTTATTGGAATGATTTCCACAGACATGAATAGTTAGGTTATCAAGTTTGTATTCGGTTATCTTGCGTAATGAAATTGGCATGAATTTGGTTTTAGATATATTAAGAGACAATACATTTTGGTCAAGCCATTTTTTTTAGCAAACAGAGGTCTGATTCTGCCTTGTTTTTAACCTCATCCCAGGATGCTCCGGTTACAAATATTAGAGTATCATCAGCAAATAATGTTAATTTTCCTTCTGTTTGAATTTTAGAAATATAATGACAACATAATGGCAATAAATAGTAGGCAAATATAATGGCAGGTGTAGACAATCAGGGTTCTGTTAGGGTGGGAAACTTTCACTCTTGTAGTCTTGCCAAATCTTTCGGGAATTTACATTGTTGCCAGTTAGTGCTGTGTTTGCTATTCCTATATGGTTTTAAATTAAATATTACCGAGTCGTAATTTTCTCTTAAATTTAGTAGGCCTAAGGTGTCTGGTCCCTTGCTGTTCATCTGTTAGCTTTCTTGCACTCGAGCTATTGCTTTTTAGTGTGTGAGGTTTAATATTCTTGCACTGGAAGAATATTATTTGCGTTTGGAAAAATTGTTTGCGTTTATTTTCAGTTACTGTATTTTTGGGATATGAAATGTCAAATAAATGTTTAAATGTACTCTAAAATTCATAATATTTGCTCTCAACATGAGAGTCATGTAAAACACTCTTTTAAATTTTAATTTTAATTTTCAAGAGTTTTTAAAATAATTTTAAATTTGAATATTGTAGTCACTAGTTCTACGTTCACTTGATTGAACCTCTTTTTTTCTATTAGTACCAGGAGACCGAGCATTGCTTGGAGCGACTGGACACAGCTTGATAATGTCTTCCTCTGACAGTCTTGAGAGACAGCATCAGGCGAAATCTCATAAGTGATCAATAAAGGCTGAAGTTGATTGGAGATGTCATCACACAAATTCTTGATGAAATCGTCATATGTCTTCCCATTTCCAATCACTCTGTAAAATTTTTGTAAATGGGACACAATTTCCACAAAAGTTCATGTACTCCGCTGAAACCCACAAATACTGTCGCAAATTCGTCAGTTCCCATTTAATCTTGTACAGTCCCAATTGCACACCAATCGCTTTTACCCCGCTTTTTTTTTAAGTTGTCAGTGAGTTGCTGTTAGGTAGGTTTATAGTAGTCAATGTTTGGTTTTGCAAAGTACTGGGGCTTAGTCACAAGGAAGTAAACTGCAGCTTTTCCTGGTGTCGAATGTAATAAGGCATTTTGAAATCAAGTGGGGACTGTGGAGAGGAGGCCTATTAAATTTTGTTTAGCTTTTTGTTAGTTCCATCAGCTATTTTGAAGGTGTTGATAGATGTTAGCGTGGTTGTCTTTATATGTGCCATTTGTTCCTGCCAGAAGAACTGTTACATCTGTTTCATGTGTCGAAAATATTGCTGACCGAGCAGCTTGCTCTAGTGTGGCGTCAATAGTTTTAAGCTATTTCTGACTGTATCCTATTGCATAAAATTGTTCACAGAGATCTCTTCCTAGATTATGAGGAAAGAGTGATAGGCCTATGCTTGTTTTTTTCACAAGCTTTTTAGTTGATAATTTGGCTTTAATGTTCCCCGAATTGTAATGTCTTCGAATGATTGGAAGTGTATTCTGAGTTCTGACTATAGTTTGTTGTTTTTGATTTTGTTTCCTCATCACTGGAGAGGATACTAAAGTGGTTTGAGCTCCTAAAAAGGGGGTTTTCATGTCCAGATTCTCCCATACTTATGAATTTTGTGTGGTACCTAACCATGTTTTACAATGCATGCTACACATCACTGCAGAATTCTTTACCCCTTTCCCCCACACTCACAACAGGGATAGTTATTTTTTCTGTGCATTTTTAATTTTTATCTTTCAAATATGAACTGTTGATGATCAAATGTAATAATGTTATATAAAATAGCCTAACATAGCATGATGTTAAATAACCTGGTCAATATACATTGGTGTTATTATAAAAACACAAATTTACTTGTTTGTTACAGACATCATGTGAGCTTGTGTTAATTATTTATATACAATTTATTAGAATCATATTTTTTAGGTAACTCTGTTCGTTTACTTGGTTTGAAAAAGGCAGCTGGGAAAAAATTAGGAGGAGCCTCGTTGGATTTACCCAAAGTTCGAAGAAACCCTTTGATAGAGATAATAGCCATAAACACAGGCTGTCTGAACCAGTGCACTTACTGCAAGACCAAACATGCTCGAGGGGACCTGGGAAGCTATCCTCTTGGTAAGTCCCCTTTAAACCTAACTGCTACAGGTCGCAAAAAACCTGCCAACTAAGTGAACTTTTGTCGAATTATTAAATTTGTGCTTAACCCGGTCCATGAAACAATTCTTCCTTGATAGTACTGCTTATGGTTTATAATAATAGTTCTTTTATAATATTGTTATTACTGTCAATTTCATTTAAAAATGTATTGTCATTTAGTTTTAAGCTGTAGATTTAGCCAATTTTAGCCCTAATTATTTTTATATAAGCATTCGCCCAATTTTTTTGCTTGAATATCAATAGTATTATTGCCATCATTATCAATAGATCTCAAATACTTTTGTATAAAAACCAGTATTATTAGTTTTATTATTAGTATAGCATGTTCATCCTATTTACACTTGACTTTGTACATTGTACTATGAATTGTATATCTCTATAGGGTGTGTAATATGTATGAAATAATATCACCACTATATGAACGAATATTTTGATAAGTTTTATTTACAAAAGAATGAAGAAGTGTGTTGAATCATAACATAGTCAAAACTAAACATTTTAACAATCTAGCAACAGTTGTAACATAATAAATATTAAAATAAAGTGCAAGACCAAAGGCATCACAGCTGTGGCTAAGTTGACGCCACATCAGCCCCCCGCAGAGACTGGAAGTCCAGGAAGCTTGAGCTTTACATTTCGACCAGATCGAGTAGTGTATAGTTTCTGAACAATGATGCCGGGTTTGGAAGTTTGAGGGATGTGTCCGAAGATTGTATATTTTGAGGCTCTTTGATTGTTGGATGATAATATTTGTCAGGTAACACATATGCAGGTTTCACCCTGTCTAAGCTCACTCGCACTTGTTTGCCATTCTGTGATATTACTAAGGATTTTTCATCACGAGAAATTACAGGATATGGTCCGTTGTAGGGAGGCTGTAGAGCACGTTTCACAGAGTCATCTCTTAGGAAAACATCGGTGCACTTTCTAAGATCCTGAAATATAAAAGTCACGTGGCGTGAAGCTTGGACAGGTCTGATTGAAGACATGTGTTGACGGAGTCGTACAACATAATCAGTGGGATCTTCATGCCTGGGTCCGTCAACAGGGAGATCAAACAATTCTCCTGGAAGTCTCAACTGTTGTCCGAAAACAATTTCTGCCGCTGATGCTTGATGATCCTCGCGGTACGCACTTCTTATACCTAGGAGGACAATCGGAAGAGCTTCCAGCCAGGATGAGTCGTGATGACACATCAGTGAAGCTTTGAGATGACGATGGAATCTCTCCACCAATCCATTTGCACAGGGATGGTAACTGCAAGTCCTGATTCTTTCAGAGCCGAAAGTTTTTCCAAGGGACTTGAAGAGGGATGATTCGAATTGGCGGCCTTGATCAGTAGTTATTCTTCAAGGAGCACCATAACGAGAAAACCAGCACGATACTAGACCTTCGGCGACTTCTTCTGCAGTAATCCCCTTTAAAGGATGAACCTCAGGCCACCTAGTGTAACGGTCTATTACTGTAAGACAGTATTTGTATGGACCTGCTGGTGGTAAAGGCCCAATAATGTCAACATGGATGTGCTCAAAACGTGATGATGGTAAAGAAAATGTTCCTAGAGGAGCATGAACATGTCGCGTTACTTTGCAACGTTGGCATCGCTCACAAGTACGAGCCCAATTACGACAATCTTTTTGAATACTTGGCCAGACAAATTGATCTGCTACAAGCTTTGCAGTAGCTTTAATGCCTGGGTGGCTGAGGTCATGTAGCGAATGAAATACCCTCCTCCGTAGTTCAACTGGAATATAAGGTCTTTGGGTCCCTGTTGAAGTGTCACAAAAAATGAATGAGTTTGTTCCAGGGATTTGTATCTTCTTTATTTTGAGAGATGAATTGTTATTGTTTATGAGGTTGATGAGTTCGTCATCTGAGCTTTGTGCTTTGGCGATTAACTCAGGATCCAATGAACATGAAATAGCCTCTACACGTGATAAAGCATCGGCAACAATGTTTTCTGAACCTCCAATGTGTTTTATGTCTGTAGAAAACTCGGAAATGAATGAAAGCTGACGTAGTTGAACAGGTGGAAGTTTCTCACGACATTGATAAAAAGCAAAGATGAGTGGCTTATGATCCGTAAAAATGGTAAATGCCGTGGTTTCCAAAAAATGATGAAAATGCTGTACTGCTTCATACACAGCAAGAAGTTCACGGTAGTACGCCGGCCAAGAGCTTTGCTTTGGTGAAAGTTTCTTAGAGAAGAATCCAAGTGGCTGCCAGGAATTTTAAACAAATTGTTGAAGGCAAGCCCCTACACTAACGTCAGAGGCATCTGTAAACAGTCCAAGAGGGGTGTCATGTTTCGGATGAAATAGGAGTGTCACTGACGACAAACTAGACTTGCAAGCTTGAAACGCTTCCTCAGTCTCTGGGGTCCAAGGCACAGGAAGTGATCCTTTGCTATTTGCACCACCAAGCAGAGAGTGTAAAGTGCTTGGAGTTCTGCGGCTTTAGGTAAGAATCTACGATAGAAATTGATCATACCTAGGAACCGTCGAAGACCACGCATTGTCTTAGGTAGTTGGTACTCCTGAAGAGCAGATATTCGGTCTTGTGGAGGATAGACACCTGATGCTGAAACTTTGTACCCTAAAAACGTCACTTCAGGCATAGCAAAAACACACTTAGACGAGTTTACAATAACGCCATAGGAATGGAGTCTTTTGAACAAAGTCCTAAGATGTTGCTCATGTTCTTCAATTGATCGGGAGGACACTAAAATATCATCAATGTAGCTGAACGTAAAATCTAGGTTTTGGGTTACTTCATCTATGAAACGCTGGAATGTTTGGCCAGCATTACGTAACCCAAAAGTCATGAATGGAAACTCTAAAAGGCCGAATGGAGTTGTGATAGCAGTTTTGCATATGTCATCTGGGTGTACAGGGATTTGTTGGTATGCTTTTACTAGGTCTATGACAGAAAATACGTTACAGCCTGAAAGATTATTTGAAAAATCGTGAATGTGTCGAACAGGATACCTGTCAGGAGTGGTGCGTGCATTCAATGCACGGTAGTCTCCACATGGTCTCCATCCATTTTCTCCTTTCGGCGCCAGATGCAGGGGTGAAGCCCACGGACTGTCTGATGGACGTGCTGTACCACATTTTACCATGTCGGAAAATTCACTCTTTGCAATGCTGAGCTTTTCAGGGGCCAGTCGTCGTGGTCGGCAGAATACAGTAGGTCCTGGAGTCGTGTGTATGTGATGTACTGTCTGGTGCTTCACTTCTCGAGGCAATCCTGGAGGGCGAGTAATTTCGGGGAATTCATGTAAGATTTTAGAGAGGGGAGAAGTAGTGACTACGGATTTTACGCTACTTTGAGTCGTAACGGAAAGTTGTCCTCCTGTAATAAGTCCAGTTTCGGCATCGTGAAGTCGCAACAAACGACAGTCAGGAAGCAAATGGTAGTAACTGAGGAAGTCCGAGCCAATGATTGGAACACTGACATCTGCAACCGTGAACTGCCATGCAAAACTACGGCGTAGGCCTAGGTCCAATGTCATAGAACAGGTTCCGTAAGTCTTGATAGTACTACCGTTGGCGGCACTTAGTTCAAAGTCTGTAGATGTGCGACGGTCTCGTAGAAGACGTTTGTGTTGTATCCGCTAGTGGGTGGGGTGTCCAGAATAAATACTCGGGCGTGATGTTAATTGGGTTCATTTATTAAGCGGATAAGCAAATAAATACAAATTATAATATCTTACTAATACATGACTACGCTAATATCACAGAGAAATCCCCATTATTAAAAGGGTATAATTTAGAGGGAGGGCTACCTACTACTGAACCAAGGGTCGGGCAATGTAAATCTCCTATTAGCCTATCACCACATACCTGCTAATATCAGCGGGAGAATCATGACCAGCTAGTTGTTGGCTGGACCGCGCCTGGACTGATTCTGACTGTAAGTTGGTGGTTCACAAGGACCGACCATATCTAACCTCAAGGTGGTGGGGGTTGTGACGCAAATGCTGGTTTCCAGAATTACCTCAAACCACATTTGGTACTGGATATAATGTTACAAAATCTCAAAGTTAAAAACTACTTTTGGCTGAGCTCCCTGCTCCAGATATAAACGGAATCAAACTGTAAACTAATAAATTAACCCATGTGGATACACAACATTCGCCCCTTCTTTCTAAAAGTGAGACCACACTCAAGTGGTCTAACTTTTACCAAAAATAAAGAATTTTGAAAGAACTAATTGTTTTGTTTATGTTAAATGATCCTTGGCCCTTACAATTACAGGAGGTACTCTAAGGGGAATTCTCTGCTTGTCTAAGCATTAAAGCTACACCATAGCAATGTCAAAACAAATATCTAAAATATTCTATGGTTAAAGTATATTCATATTTGATACGAAATTACAACAACAAAGTCACAACAGAGATACAGGCTTATCATTGACCGGCTTCCCGCAGTGATAACGCCTGCGGTGGCACACGCCGCCTCAGTGAAACAGTTGGACATCTACAACTGTATGCACAGTGAAATGATGAATCATAATTTTGATTTAAATGTAAATTAACAAATCCAATATGATAAAAATAGAAATAATTAATACTTTGCCTGATCTCATAAGCGACTATCTCTGCTAAATATTACCTAAATGTCCTAACATATACACAATAAACCACACGACAATGATAATGTTATTAATTATGTTATTAAAATTGGCAAATGATTAAGCAAAATGCAATATATTTTTTTTTTACATAAAACAATACGAATACCAGTTAACACACTATAAGACGCTAATAAACTTTTCCATCTACAAAATGCATCTCTTCTCTTCCCCGCTTAACATAGCGCATCCTATCCCACTTCTGACACCAAATGTTGTATCCGCTAGTGGGTGGGGTGTCCAGAATAAATACTCGGGCGTGATGTTAATTGGGTTCATTTATTAAGCGGATAAGCAAATAAATACAAATTATAATATCTTACTAATACATGACTACGCTAATATCACAGAGAAATCCCCATTATTAAAAGGGTATAATTTAGAGGGAGGGCTACCTACTACTGAACCAAGGGTCGGGCAATGTAAATCTCCTATTAGCCTATCACCACATACCTGCTAATATCAGCGGGAGAATCATGACCAGCTAGTTGTTGGCTGGACCGCGCCTGGACTGATTCTGACTGTAAGTTGGTGGTTCACAAGGACCGACCATATCTAACCTCAAGGTGGTGGGGGTTGTGACGCAAATGCTGGTTTCCAGAATTACCTCAAACCACATTTGGTACTGGATATAATGTTACAAAATCTCAAAGTTAAAAACTACTTTTGGCTGAGCTCCCTGCTCCAGATATAAACGGAATCAAACTGTAAACTAATAAATTAACCCATGTGGATACACAACATTTGGGATAACATGAAACGTCAGAGCCGGTGTCGATCAAGAACCGGAGAATCGACTTTTGATCTGAGACAAAAATTCTGCGGCTGGGTGCTTGACAGTCAGTCGCCGCTGTTACTGGCCGTCCTTGGAGTTTCCCGCGTAAGAGCAAGGAGAAATATATTTTGACGCGTGCTCACCAAATTTAGCATGATACCAGCAGATATGGGTTGTAGATCTGTGCTGATCTTTATTCGTATTCTGTGATGTTTTCTTGTCATGTATGGTCGAATGATTGTGTCGGAGGGATACTTCGAGAGCGTCAATCCTCTGCGTCAGTCTCGCAATAGCAGCAGTGAGGTCGTCAATAGACTGTTTGTGTTCACGAGATGTCGTAGCATTTACAGATACTTGTGGTGTTCTTGTAGAAACTTCAATGACTTTATCGGCTATGTCTGCAAGTTTATCAAGTGGAAGTTCATTTTGAGCTGTGATAATCGCTTGAACGTTAACAGGGAGACGACGTAGCCAGAGTGCTCGAAGGATGTTATCCTGTAGTTGGGCTGGACCGATCAGAGTACTTAGGTGGCGTAAGAACTGCGATGGCTTGCGATCTCCGATATCTTCATCGCTGATCAACTGGCGAACGCATTCTTCTTCACTAGTTGACAGTCTCTCAATTAGCTTCGAACGAAGTACTGCGTAACGATTTGTTGCAGGCGGATTTGTGATGATGTCCTCTACTTCCACTGCGTAACGTGTTTCAAGCTGAGAAACGACGTAGTGGAACCGAGTGTCATCACTTGTGATGCCTGAGATGGCGAACTGGGAATCTACCTGAGCAAACCATAGGATAGGTCGTTCGGCCCAGAATGGTGGAAGCTTTACTGCAACTCGATTCACTGATACATTACCAGGGTCGTTGCGTTGCTGAACGTTGGTGGATAGTTCATCTTGTTGCTCTCGTAGATTCGCCAATTGAGCTTCGATTTCTTCTAGCGACATTGGTAATATTGATGAAGGAATGTCGTGCTTCTTGTTGTCGTTGTTCGGGGTCACCAATATATAAGGTGTGTAATCTGTATGAAATAATATCACCACTATATGAACGAATATTTTGATAAGTTTTATTTACAAAAGAATGAAGAAGTGTGTTGAATCATAACATAGTCAAAACTAAACATTTTAACAATCTAGCAACAGCTGTAACATAATAAATATTAAAATAAAGTGCAAGACCAAAGGCATCACAGCTGTGGCTAAGTTGACGCCACATCTCCATTGACCTAGCCTCATGCGTCTCAAACCTCATGGACCTAAACATTAAAAAGTGTGTAGCCATATCGTTTAGCAAGAAGAAGTCTCAGCTTCAGTTCGTCTATAGCCTGGGTCAATCTAATCTTGCAAGGGTTAATGAAGTGAGGGATTTAGGTGTGACCTTAACCTCCTCCCTGTCATGGGAACGTCACATTACCTCTAGTTGCAGAAAAGCCCTTCAAGCCCTGGGTTTTGTTCTTCGAAGCTCCAAACATTTCCAAGACGTTTCTCTACTCAAAACCCTGTTCCTGGCCTTCGTATTGCCACACCTGGAGTTTGGCTGTTGTGTTTGGTCACCTCACCAAGACTATCTCAAGACGGAACTTCATATGGTTGTTAATCACTTCTTGAGAGTGGTCGGTGTGAGGTTGGGCTACAACTACAGAGAGGTACCCATCCAAGACATCTCTGTGGCCCTTCGTATCCTTCCATTGGAGTCCAGACGTGAGATCCAGGACATCTTGCTTATTTACAAACTGGTCAATGGCTTCATCGACTGTCCCGGACTTCTCAAACTTCTGAACTTTAGGGCGGGTAGATCTTCAAGATCCAAGGACCTCTTCTCTCGTGAGCATCTCAGCACCAACTATCATCTCTTCAGCCCATTGCCCAGAGCCTAACGTCTCGTCAATGCTCTACCTGATGAGATTGACCTTTTTAATATGTCGCTGGCTTCTTTCAGGAAAAGTGTGGTGATTTCGAAGTGGTGAAGTGAAGATCATTCTGTGTTTTGTGCCTGCGCCTCTCTGTTTACTAAAATTTCTCAACTGCCCTTTCTGGCTTTGTTTTATTATCACGGCAGTATGGCTCGCATATTTTCTGTTATGTTTGGTTTGTTTCTTACTTGTTTTGTTTCATGCATAATTTTTGTTTCTGTTATTACACCCAAATTCATTATCTAATTATTTTCTTGAATTAGAGATCGTTTATGTGAACTTAGTCCTGTTTGTTAACTTGTATTAATTGTAGCTATTTATTGTTGTATTTGTATTTATTGTTCAATTATTGTTATCTTGTAGCTTGTTACTGATCTAAATAGTTTCTCATTTTGCATCTAAATTTATCATAATCTTAATTATCATATGTATTGGTGTCAGTCGTTGGAATAATAAAATAAAAAATAAAATAAAATAAAAATAGCCTATTGTATGACATGTACTTAATGGCAATAAACTATTTGATTTTGAATTTGGTTTAATAGTGTTTCAGAAAAATTATACCAAAATGTTTGAAGATTGTAAATATTAACTGTACCCATCCAACACGACATCAGAAGAAATTGAAATTGACTCGACATAGGCTTTTATTCTATGAAAATTGTCTCAAATAATACTTAACTCGTCTATAATGTTGACCCATTACACCGGATAATTGGGAGTTTACTATAAACTAAATTATTCTGTGATTTACAGAAGAGATTGTGGAGCGAGCTCGACAGTGTTTCAGCGAAGGTGTGAAGGAGGTCTGGCTGACATCGGAGGACACAGGCACTTATGGACGGGACATCGGCACGTCACTGCCCGAGCTGTTGTGGCGTCTGGTGGAGGTTATACCTGAGGACTGTATGTTGAGAGTGGGGATGACCAACCCTCCATACATCCTGGAACATCTGGAGGTTGGTTAGAGTAATTTTAACATATAAATAATGAACATACTATTTCACAGTCATCACAGTTATTATTACTATGTTATATGGTATCTCTTCCTTTGGAAGAACCTTTAAATAGTATTAAAATCGTATTGGTGGATCTTTTGTAGCTAAACACATCCGTGATTTCATCAGTGTAATATGTTTTTTATTTCAAAAGGCCGTATTTTTTGGGAAGACATATTCTAACTTCAAAGGGAGGTATATCCGTTACAGTATAAGTTTGATTTTTCCTGTTACGTCGCGTCAGTTCATATCGTACTTCTGTGCAAATGAATGAACCCTCTATCATAGTTTTGAGAAATTGATTGTGGGGTTGCTGTTAAAGCTGGAATTCCTTGACATGGGGGATGTCAGTTAGTTGCCTCAGCCTTATCAATAACATAAAGTTGTCAATAATCTCTCTATGGAATGTTAGGTGTAGTGGAATACTTGAAGTGAAGTTGGCTTTTGTTCTTGAAATGTTAGGGGCCTCCTAGTTCATATGGTCTTGTGGCTTCATTGGCAACAAATAATGCAAATTACATAGCAATGGGACATTTCCAAAAAGCAAAAATGCTGTAAATTGGCTGTTACGTATATATTGACTTTTACATATTGTTAATCAACGTATCTTATAAAGGATTATGTAATCTAGTTTAAAAGGAATATGACCTTTCTGTCATGACAGGTGCTGCTTAAATAGTATTTTCTCTTTGTACCATATTTTACAGCCAAGCCCAAAATGTAGTGTTATTTTCATTAATGTTACCAACCCAGTGTTCCAAAGTCCGTAATATATGCAGGTGCAAATAATTTGTCAAGATGGGTACCATTTTAGGCAAGGTTTCTATGTAGGGGTTTTATTAGATACGATAAGAGCAAATATTTCTACATAAATATTTGATATGTGTAGAATAATATGATAAAATGTAGGCAAAAGTGGTGAAAAAGGAAGACACCAACCCGTACAATAGATATAAGATAGTTCAATAAGAAATAATTTAAGAATTGCTGTGATAAAATAATTTATCACTGATTTCGTAATGGAGCGTTATATTGCAAAACATGACATGATAAAGAAGAAAATCAATTTTAAAATCGGAAAATAGCATTGCAAATACATTTGGGAGAATTCAGTAACTCCCAATAAATGAGTGTTGTTTGAAATACAATTTAAAAATGAACAGCTGTTTCATTAAAAAGCATTATTCACATGGCCAAAATGTAAACAACTCTGTGGAGGGATCTTTAAAGGCTTCTGGGGCAGAGTCCTAAGGGAATTTGCTTAGTTTTTCTTTTGATAACTCATCTACAGACCAAGGCCTTTCTTTGGATACCCCTATCAAGTTTCTACGCCCAGCCGTTCTCTCAAATTATTGGGGACAAAGTTTCCAATTAAATATCTCGTATTTAGATTCCCCCATGTTAATCTTATGGGAGAAACTCCAACTTTGATGGCCTGTGGGACAAAGCCTGAGGATTTTTATTACAGGAATTGGTGAAAGGGGGCGTCTACACAATAAATACTTTATTTTGACACGTCGTTTGTAAAAATCCATCCAGTATTAACGGAGGAGTAGTGTTTTGTAGAAATCGCCTTCACGTATTATATATAAGGATTCTGCTCAAAATACAGAACAATGATAACAAAGACAAACATCAACACATCTTCTAACCAAACAGTGCATACCTGTGGCCGCAGTAGTTACAAAATACACAACAATGATAACAAAGACAAACATCAACGCATCTTCTAACCAAACAGTGCATACCTGTGGCCACAGTAGTTACAAAATGCACAACAATGATAACAAAGACAAACATCAACGCATCTTCTAACCAAACAGTGCATACCTGTGGCCGCAGTAGTTACAAAATACACAACAATGATAACAAAGACAAACATCAACGCATCTTCTAACCAAACAGTGCATACCTGTGGCCGCAGTAGTTACAAAATACACAACAATGATAACAAAGACAAACATCAACGCATCTTCTAACCAAACAGTGCATATACCTGTGGCCGCAGTAGTTACAAAATACACAACAATGATAACAAAGACAAACATCAACGCATCTTCTAACCAAACAGTGCATATACCTGTGGCCGCAGTAGTTACAAAATACACAACAATGATAACAAAGACAAACATCAACGCATCTTCTAACCAAACAGTGCATATACCTGTGGCCGCAGTAGTTACAAAATACACAACAATGATAACAAAGACAAACATCAACGCATCTTCTAACCAATTAGTGCATACCTGTGGCCGCAGTAGTTACAAAATATTTAATTTTATGTTATGTTATATGTCTTAATGTTCTTGTGTGTGTTAATTGGCTTGACGACCTCAATATGAGTGCAGCTTGTTATTCTTGACAAGGATCTGAGAAATTATCGTCACCCACCATTACAGGAGGAGGTTAAGAAATGACTAGATAAAATCAAGGTTAACCTCTTGTTTATGCGTCATTATTGTATTATTTTTTATTACAATAATGCTGCATAAGCATTTAAAAAAGGCTTGTCCACAGCATTTCTTGTTATACCAATGTATTGTCCCTCCTTATCTTGACTCAGTGAGGCAGTGTAAAATGAATTAAATTATTATTGATTGTTTAAAATGTTAATATGCTTCCGCAGTCACAAGGAGGAACACTACAACGGCCCAATCTAAATGCCGGACTGTGTTTTTTCCTCACAAATGAATTGCTGAAAGCCCAGTCTCGATATGAGAACAACAACATCTTGCAAGAACAAGATTTTCATTTTTTCCATACAAGTGTTAAAATGTATTGAGTGTTTACACAACTGGTGAAACAATTTGAATTTATTGAAACAGCTGGTCCTTGTGAAACTATTTTAATTTATTATCAGACAACTAATAGGAAAGCAAAACTGGTAATACAATTTTAGCCTATTGACACAATTAGCAGAACTATTTAAATCAGGAAAATGATAAACCTTCATCACAGTGTTTTAATTTACAGGAGATGGCAAGAATATTGAGTCACCCGAGAGTTTATGCTTTCCTTCATGTTCCGGTGCAATCAGGAAGTGACTCTGTGTTGGGTGATATGAAGAGAGAGTATTGTCGTATTGACTTTGAAAAAGTTGTTGACTTTCTACGGCTAAAGTAAGTAGGAAAAACAGTTATTACTTTTATTTGAGGATAATAAAATTTTTAATTTTATGTTTACAGTCCGACCAAACGCGTGCACGCACCGTGACTGTACAGAAATAAATGTAATGTGTTTTTCTACGTGTGTTCAGTGTTTTATGTTTTAAATTAATGACGAATCTGAGAAGAGGATAATCTGAGGATGTGGCAGTCGCCACGAAACATGTAGTTGTCTATCTACCAACACTAAACGGATATTGTAAGGTAACAATAATAATTTAATTTAATAATAGAAAATTATAAAATTGTCTGTTTCTTCAGACGCAGCAGTTAGTGACGTCAGCAGTTAGTGACGTCAAACGGCACCTGAGAAATCTTCCGTGTGCCCCACCGATCCTCTTCACTCAGTACATTTATAAAAATGATCAAGTCACTCGTCTCTGACAGACTGAAAATATCAAATAAAAACATAGTAGGCCTATTATCTCGAAATAAAATCCCACATTAAACACTTAATTTAAAATTAAAACACATTTCACTGTAGCCTGGTATAGCCTATTTGGCCTTTCTTTATAAACTCACATTTTCTAGGTTAAGTTACAATTCAAACTGTAGTTGTCATGTTTCTGCCACCAGATTGAAAATTGCACAATCAAAATCACAAACAGAATATGTTTATTTTACTTTCTATTAAACTTCCACTAACAAAATCAATTTTAAGTTACAAATTCACATCAAAGTAAAAACATTCAAAACTGACGTTGACATAACTTCACTCCAATCCATTGTTTTGTTTTGTTCTTGTTGTTGCTATGCGTCACCATCTTTATCTCTCTCTCTCTCTTTCTCTCTAGTCGGTCTGCTCCTGCTGTCTGCTTCTGCTTTGTTTTCCCATCAAACAGCTGTTTTGCAGGGCTGACGTTGCCATATTTATCATTACACCATTATGGTGAATGTCGGCAAAATTATCATAAAATTGTTATAGCTTTTATTTTGTAAAAAAGGTAATAGTTTGACTAATTTAAATCATGTTTATGTAAACTCATTAGAAAATTATACTTATAGTTTGTTTACGCCAATACCACAGTTGTAAAAGTACAAAAATTATCGTCCATCTGGCAACACTGAGTTTAAAGTGGAACTGATCTTTTCTTTCTGCCATTTGCCTAGACCCAATGAGATTGCGTCATTCAGATGCATCGATGTTCCTTGCAGTAACTTATCGGTTTGTAAAACTAAACACCAATACCGATTAATTTGAAAAAATATTATGCTACAATAGGTTATTTTTATTTGTTGTATATCTATATTTTGGTATAAAATATTTTTATGGCAGTTCAAACTAAATCTGATACTGTACTTTATAATATCTTCAAGAATCGTCTGCCATTGTTAGGCCTACTAGTCACGAGACTCCCTTGTTGACTATCGACTATTGCAATTCGATAGATTCATTCAATGCTTTATTTCAACTTACTGTATCGTTATCGAGACGTATTGTTGACTGTTGTAGGAAAGTGAAAGTCTGTTGTTAGTAGTAGTAGTCCTCTTGCTAGCTCTGCCGAATGACGATGGGTGTTTGTTGAACATTTGGTTTACGCTGGTCTAACCTATATGAGGTTAGATAGTTGTTTTTTGTAGGAATGGGGATAAATAAGGCATCAACACAAAACAAAATATAATTTATTAAATATGGATGTAGAAAATCGTGAATTGGCACTATTTATAACTACTCGACTCGAAATTTTCGAGTAGTAATTACTACTCGACTCGAGGTCGAGTATTTGAAAAAACTCGAGTAATTACTCAAAGGTCGAGTACTCGCCCACCCCTAGTACCCAATGCGTTTCGTTGAATTGAAAAATAAATAACAGAAATTAAATTATACAGCTGATCAAAATGTAAAAATATATGTTCTTCATAAGGATAACATGGGAACTTTAAAAGCCACTGGGGCAGAGCCCAAGGGACTTTTTCAAAAATGTTTGCAAATCTACGCAACACGCTCTTTACAATGAAACGTCAATGGATAAAATCGGTTAAGAAATGGCAGAGGAGTTCAACCGACAAAGTTTCATGTAGCGTATGAATTATATAGATTAGTAAATTTGTGACAGCAAAAGGCAGTCTAGGATCGATGTTTTTTTTATATGAACTTGTTTTAAGTGTGTGGCGAATGCGAGTAGGCCTATAGGAGTTCGGTATTTCATTCACTGATCCCTCACACCCCTTGCCAGTACTGGCGTTGCGTTTGATTGATTACTTTACTTACTAGTACTAGACAATAATTAGATATTAGGTAAAGACATTAATTAAATTAATGTATGAGTAGGTCTATTTAGTTTCACATTTAAGTCAGTCGTGTAGAATTAATTAGAATTCATTCCTACTACTGGAACGTCAGTTATTAATAATAATATACTGTTACCTTCTAACGTTTCAAAATGGTGTGGTCATACGACGCGTTTTGTCAACACAGTGACATCATCAGGTGATCCGCTATCGCTTCGTCTTGAACATTAACACAAAACACATATCATGAACACATAATTTTTACATTTAAGGACCGATCGGTATTGTCGTCGCTGTGGCCACAACTCGCGTACGCACGTGATTCAAAAAAACCTTACTGGTACCAATACCTTTGAAATGTGTCTTTGTGTCGGCTACCTATATCTGTCTGTTTTATTTGTTAATAGGCCTACATAAAATGAAATGGCACAGGGTGTCGACCGACCTGGAAAACCGGGAATTTTGCGTGATTTTTTTTTAAGCGGGAAAAACCGGGATTCATGCAGGAATTTTCAATTCGCCGCGATCTCGCCTGAAAATGACATTTCAGTGACCGCAGGAGACGACGGAGACGTTTCCGTGATCGCGAGAAACGACAATGACGTTTCCGTAACTGCAGAAGACGATGTTGATGTCCAAATGGCCGTGGGATAATTGAGAGATTTCGCCACGATTGGACATGACGACGATGGTGTTTCGGTGACTGCGGGAGATGACAATGACGTTTCCGTGACCGCGGGAGACAACGATGACGTTTCTGTGATCACGGGTGACGATGATGATGACCAAACGGCCGCGTGACTTTTTAGAAAATTTGATGATAACTTTTCTGTGATTGTGGGAGACAATTATAACGTTTCTGTTATCGCTGAACAATATCAGGATTTTGTCATGACGACGGTAGACAGTGGTGATGTTTTCGTTAGCACTAAAACAGCATTACTGGAGTTGGCACAAAATCGTGTTGGAAAATTTAGTATGAAAATTACAACCTGAACTACCTGGAATTACTCATGAATTTTTTCTGTTTGGCCTGGTGGACACCCTGGGCAATTACTCTATTATCAAGGCAAAGTAAGGACTACTAATCTAACTCATATTATTTAAAAAGTAAAACCTCAGTAACTCGACACCCGATAATTCAACAGTTAACAGCTGACCAGGTATTTCTAGCTAGCTTTGTATTACTAGTCCGAGCGACTTTTCAAGCAAATTTTTCAGAACATTTAGTTTTATTGTTGAATATTTGACATTTCTTAAAAGATTGTTTACTCAATATGCAAGTAATACTCATGTAAGAAATAAATGTTTATGTACAAATTAGTCTGTTTTGTGTGCATTTATTAAAACCCATTAACAATTTCTATGTTCTGGATGACTCGACAACCTCTGGGTCCACAAATTGTCGAGTTAGTGAGGATTTACTGTAAATTAGATCTGATATTTTCATAATTTACGAGCGGTTTCAGAGTCCATAACGTTCAAATATATACAAACTTCCTCTTTTATAAATATAGATTTAACAATAGAACATAACATAACCATTCACTATCTTTGCAGAGTACCTGGAATCACCATAGCTACGGACATAATCTGTGGATTTCCCACTGAAACAGAGAGTGACTTTGAGGAGACTATGAGTCTTTGTGACAAATATCGCTTCCCTTCGCTGTTTATCAACCAGTTTTTCCCTCGGCCTGGTACTCCAGCCGCTAGGCTTCCAAGAATACCAACAGACCAGGTGAGATGGTAACATATGTGTTTTAAAATATGATTTGAGGAATAGGTTAACTATTGTTAAACTAGAAGGTGTCATATGTAAAAAATATTTACGTACGGGGAATTGACCACTCCATTGCTGCATTAGCTCCATTGCATAGATTCAGGTGCTTGTATTGGCTAATTGACTGCCAACCCTCTGTGGCTGGTATACTTTAGAAGGGGATTAGCACGATTCTAAAACGATTTCTCTCGTTCTTCTACCAGAGAATCAATTTGGTGGAATGTATAGTTGGGTTTATTCATAAACCCATACCATTTCAGATTCCAATATTTTTAGTTAATACATGTTATAAATATTTCATCAAAAAAGTAAAGTAACCTTTTTTCAGAATTTTATAAGTCTAGACGTATGGCTCTAAACTAAGTGTTATTATCACATTATGTCTGTTATCCACAACAATGAGTGTTTAAGAATAATGTTTTTAGGAAAAAGCATTTAGCTTGGATTAAATAAATAAATATAGGATGGAGAGGACACAGCTAACTCACCTGATAAAAGGTTGCAGACGAGTCAAAGAACACATAAAATCACACACATAATATACTTAATATTTCGCCTCTTTCAGAGGCTTCTTCAGAAGTAGGCCTAGATGGTAGTTACAAAACCTTTGTAATTGTTTTGTTTTGCTGTGTCCTCTCCATCCTATAATTATTTGTTTAAGAATAATGTGAACTTAACCTAAAATGCCCAGGAAATAAATAACATTAACTTTTAATGGTAGTTAAAACTTTGGTACAAGCTTAGGTGACTATAAAACAACTTAAATTCAATTTAGATACCTTTCAACTTGTTTCACGCATATCGATTTATAAAACAAATAATATCCAAAGGCCTATGATAATATAATATTGGTAATTATTCCTATACTCCTCATGCTTAACATCTTGGTTGCCGTTTTATAAGGTTCATTACATTGCATAATATATTTTTATTTTGATCTTTTGTGATCGTGGTTAATCCACTTGTGGATAATTGAGAGTCTACTGTGTACACTTTTGTCGAGTGTACTGTCCTGTGTCTGTGTGTGTATTGAACACTTGGTGTGATATTGATGAGTTTGTTGACTATTGACAGGTGAAGCAGAGAACCAAGAGGTTATCGGAGTTGTTTCAGTCGTATGAGCCGTACTCTCACAAACTTGGCACGAGACAACGGATCTTGATTACTGAAGAGGCATTTGACGGGAAAAATCTTGTCGGCCACAATAAGTATTATGAACAGGTTTGTTGGTTTTGTCAAAGAATGGTTCTAGGCCAGGATTTTTATTTGTAAAGTGAAGGGATAGCAGTATAGACTAACCAACACAAGTAGACTTCTCATCCCATTGTAAATTTCAGGGTGTCTAGTAGTCGGGAAAATCGGGAATTAGTATTGAATTTCAAAATGGTCTTGAAAAGTCAGGATTTAGTCTTAAATTTGATTTCAATGCAGGGCCGGATTTCCCAATAGGCCCGGTAGGCCCGGGCCTATGGGCGCAAGCTCCCAGAGGGCGCACGGCCGAGAGAAAACATATTTTTTAATATCTAAAAATAAAACAAATAACCATTGCTTAACATATTTTGCGAGTTGATGTAAAAAAAAAACTCTTGCCAACAAAGCATTATAATTTTTAAATTCATTAGAAGAAATAACTGTTAGAAAAATATAAACAGTTTTTCAACATTACGCATCAATTTCGTTACAACATTGATAACGAACATTGGTTATATGGGAGTAGGCTGTAGGGATGTTGTCGAGCGCCCGAGCAGTACGCATCGTATTGCCACTGTAGGCCTACTCTTTGCACTGCCACTATGCTGGCTCAACGCCACTGATCGGAGTGATTAGGGGCGTATGCGTGTTAGACTAGACACCGTTACCACCCTTACCTCACAAAAAGAAAATGTATTAACTAATCTTTTGATCAGTTTACAGCAACCTGCAAGGTCAAGTTAAAATATATAATAAGTTTTGAATATTTAAAATACGATAAGTTTATCTTTAAAATTCAATAACGAAAAAAATATCTGAGTTTGCAACAGGTTTTAGAAAAATAAAATCCCCTCCAAAGCACCATTTGGTGTCATTTCCTCCTCAGCTCAGACCTGAGGATAATTATGGTTGGCCGGACTATTGCTTTGCAAATATAATCTGGATGCAGTACCACCATAGATTAGCCATAAACTCAAGTCGACTTGTTATCATATTGTTAATCCTAAATATTGTTTTTCATGTCTAGTTCATATATGTTGGTGACACTGGAAGTTAGTTTTAACGTAATTTTGTTTCTATTAATTTAGGGATAGTTCGATGTTGTCGTTGTGAGTGTTTTAGTTTCTTGTAATATAACCAGGGAACGACCTATTGTTTATGATTAGATCGTTTTATTTTGGACAAACTAGGTTTAAAAAACATATAACTTAAATAAAAAGAATTGTTTTCAGCTAATCCCTAAGGATGACAAATCTACTAAAGGCCTATGGTTAACCTATGGTATCACGGACTGTTATGGAGTTCACGTTTTGGGGTCTGAAATTGGAATCAATGGACATGCTATTTTTTGCAGAAATGCTCTGTGGGTTGGATTGTTTTGTTTCAGTCCCACAAGCGTGAGCATTTGCTAAAAGCATAAAATTGCCAAAAGTGTTTAAGACGGCATTTTGTTAAGGCTAACCAAGACAATTCTTCAAAAAACTTGCAATGATAACATTCCGACGAGGAGTGGTGTTCAAGCAATTAACATAGGCCTCTAGGCATGATATAGTTTTTAATAAAGGTTTGTGAGAAAGAAACTGTGACCAGAACAGGGGGCGGAAAAATTATTTCCAAAATGCTAAATCCGGCCCTTCTTCAATGTCGGGAATTTTCATGATTTTGCCGCGATCGTCGTCTTGCGTTTACGTAACCGCGAAAGCCAATGATGATGATGTCTACACGGCCTCGGGAAATGTTCACGATTTAGCTGCGATAGTGGCAAATTTTGATTCAATGTTGATTCAAGAATCAAGCCAGGCCAAAAAAATATTTATTCTTCAAAAAAGAGCTGTAAGATTAATGGCCAGAGTCTCCCGTAGAACACATTGTAAAGATTTATTTATTAATTTTAAAATTTTAACTTTTTTTAGCTCTTATATTTACAAATTGGCATTAATGGTTAAAAGTGATTTCGACACATTCATGGACTGTCAACAATCTCATCCACATAACACAAGATTCAAAAATATTATAAAACTAGTTCAACATAGGCTTAAAATCTTTCATTTATCCCCTCAGTATATGGGGCCAAATATTTACAATAAATTACCCGCTGGGATTAAAAATATTGCCTCATTCTCTAAATTTAAACTATCTTTAATAAATTTCCTTTTGGAGAGGGCATTTTACTCGTTAGAAGAATATCTGGAAAATGAGTATATTTGAAAGACATTGCTTCTCCTATAGGTTTGTAGCTTATTATTTGCTTTATTTCTTTTGTAAGCTATTTTATTATTTAAAATGTAGTATAGTATTTTAGAGGTGTGCGGATAGTGAAATTTCATTTCGGATCGGATAGTTGAGGCTCTGTTCGGATCGGATTGGATATTGGGAGGTTCGGATTCGGATATTTTCGGATTCGGATAATTCGGCGCGGTTAATAATAAGCTGCATATGTATTTCTATAAAACAATGTAAAGCTGTGTAAATAAACTTAAATGACGATTTTGAACTATAGAATTTCAAATTAGCCAAGTTCACAGTTTTCTCTCTCTTGAAAATCACAATTCACAACATTCATTTTCAAAAGTTGGTTGCTTGAATTAAGTACACTAGCAGCCGAAATCTTCACACAACACCTTAGCTCAGCAGGACTGATGTCAAACGTTTGTGCTTGTTTACTACTTGAGGTTATGTTTTATCTTGTTTCCTGGTTCTCACAAGCCAAGGAGTTCGATCTCAAGTTTATTTTCACATTGTATTTCCTTACGTTTTTGGAACGGATTATTGGCCTTAAGTGGCATTTTGTGGGTTTGCCAAGTTTAGAAAACATCACTAATGCACTAAGATGGGCTCTAGCTCACGATTTGATGTTGGGCAATTAAATTAGACTTTATAACTGTGTAAAAGGTGTGTATCCCTGAATTTATAAATTGCATTCTACACTTATTCACTGCCAAACATAATTGAGTAGAACCTTGATGAACCGAGAATTACACTAGCCTACATAACTTCATTACCCCAAGTAAAATACCAAGATCATTTTTATAATTGTATTTGAATCGTATAATCTTAGTTTGTTAAAAATGGATTGTATGTTCAACAATAATTGCAGTCCATTATTGTTAAGCAGTATGGTCCCAAATTATTGTTTTTGATTTTGAAACATCACAGTTCATTTGACAAAATTATAGTTGAAGCAGCCCAATGTCAAGTCACGCTTGTGCAATAGTTTGTTTACAAGCTTTCTCCAGACCACGGGGGAGGGGAGGGTCTGATAGGGTCTGATAAGCCGTCTATTGTTCACCCCCAAGAAGGTCGACGCTCATTAGTGCCGCTCGGCTGCACTCAGTGGGGAACCCAATACCACAAATCAATCTTTTAAATGAATACAAATATTTGGTAATGAATGTTTTATTAATATTCACCTTGAAATTTCAATAAATTTGGTGTAAAATTTGACAAAAAACGGCCATTTTGACCGATTATTAATACAGTACCAAATATCAATAAAGTAGTACATTCATTGGTAATTAAATAATAGGTAAAAATTAACCGATTTTCGTCAAGTTTTACCCCCCTGCTGTGCGCTATGTCACAAAAGCTGATAACGACATGGGTGATTAGTAACCATGGCAACTTGTTGAATGCGTGAGAAGGGAAACCCAAGAAATAGAAGAACAAAGAGAAAGAATGACGTTGTTATCTTTATACCCTTTTTACAATTTCCGTTATTGTTATCTTTATGTAAGATTTTATGATTTTGTTTTATAGGTTTATAAAATAATTCTTTTTAACTACGGGAATATCAATTTATAATTTATCAACGTGCTTCTCTTCTGAATCAGCAATACCGGATGCATAATAAAGGTCAATGACCTAAAACATCACGATTGTGCAATATTGTATTTTGATGTTGAAATTAAAATCACTTCAAAAGTTTGTATATATCCATGGTCCCTATAGTTTAATCATTTAATATGTACACAATCAATGCTAAAAAATCGTGCTTAGTTCTAACTTTATTTTTTATTATTCAAAGTTTCTACACAGTAAGACAATCCAAAGTCAAACCGGGCAATGAATACCCAAAAAACAACGTATCTTGTCCTGTGATTGGAATACCACTCGCCGGCCAGTCCTTTAGGTTTAGGGAAGTAGTGCACGTCTATATATAGCTTCAAGGTCTTACCCACCCCTTCCCCCTCCGGTCCTACTTGACTCACTACCCGCGCTCCTTTCGAGGTCATTGCCCAACCCCTCCCACCCTTCTATTGTGTTGCCTTTATATTGTTTCTATTCTGACATTTTTTTGGGAAACATTAAATCTATTGTTTACGTAACATCACAGTAGTAGGCTAGATTTTTCAACTTTGAAACAGTACTGTAAAAAAAACTATTACGCAGCGCCCCTAGTATCAGGAGCGAGACAAGCACGAGTTGACTTTCATTTGACCATGGTAGTTCTTTTCTGCTTTATGTCTGTTCGTTCCAGACGAATCTAAACGTAAAGCAAAACAGCCGATAACGACTAAACTAGTTATCAGTATTGCATCATACGGCTTCTTTGCCGTTTGCTGTTAGGTTGTTGGAAACGTATTGCTGTAATTTTGTCCTGGGAAACTAATGGTGGCTATGGAGATTTAGTTTTCTGTCCAAAACGTCAAAATATATTGTCTATCCGAAAAAGTCGGATATATAACGGATAGTGTCGGACAACGAATTTGGACCCGGTTCGGATACGGATATCCGAACCGAACCGAATCCGACCCGATTTTTCGGATATCCGCACACCTCTAGTATTAGTATTAGACTTTGTGACAAATCATCTGTCAAGAGAATTGATGTAATGTGATGATGTTTAATAAATAAATAAATAAATAGTGGACGACAACGATGACGTTTCCGAAACCGCGGGAGACGACGATGACGTTTCCGAAACCGCGGGAGACGACGATGACCTTTCTGTGACCGCTGGGGATGACGATAACATTACCGTGACCGCGGGAGACGATAATAACGTTTCCGTGACCACGAGAGACGACGAT